TAGAACTTTGGTATTCAAGTGCCATAAGGCTATAGCTCTCACTTATTCCTTCTTTCATGTAAGGTCTCTTGGACAAGCTGGAATTTCTGGAAGGTGACAAATCATCAGAGCCTCAGAAGAAGAAAGAAGGAACAGAGAGGCAGCCAATGAAGAAGGGGTAAGACTAAAGTGTAACTTTGTTCTGAATTTGAGTCCTTTGTATAAGAAGAGAATTAGGAGAAGAGTTGGAAGGGATTTTGGAGGTCATCTAGTCCAACTCCTGGCACTAGCAGGAGAGTCTATACCTGGACAGACAAGTGGCTGTCCAGTCTCTTCTTGATCTAAAGCATGCACACACAACTAAGATCAAAGGTTGATCCACTAAGAGATGTTATAATTTCTGTGGTGCAATTTCTTTATTTGGGGGATTGTCAGACTGATTGTCAGTACTGACTTTTCAAGATGTTTAAAGGACTGTGTTTTTATAAGCCTCAATAACTGAATGAAACAAAGGAGTGAGCATCATTTCTAAAATCAGATGAAAGGGATTATATCATAAATATGAACATTTAAGACTTGCATTCCCAACATGCAAGAATTGTCTTATAAAGCAGAACTTAATTCTGTTGCTACTTGTACATATGGAGAAAATTTAAATCAGGTACTGACATCTAGCATTTACAAAATGATCTTGAATACAGATTGAGTAGTCTTTTTGCTAGATTAAGAGGAATGTTTACTGAAATGGAGCCTGGCAGAAAGTGTAATATTTGGCTATTTTGAAAAAAACAGAACATATATAGGCCAAAGTATCTTAAATTTTTTGAATTCGTAGGAACAAGTACTTAGTCATGACTGACACATTGTCTTTTCTTTCAGACCAAGTGCAAAAAGACGCTACAAGAATCAGAAATTCGGCTTTGGTGGCAGAAAGAAAGGGTCCAAATGGAACACCAAGGAAAGCTATAATGATGTGTCCAGCTTCCATGCTAGCAAAGTCCACAACAAGGGAACTGGCAAAGTGGGAAAAAAGGGTGCCAAAGTAAGTTCCAGCTGGGTTATTACGTGTTACAATTGGATCACTAGAGGATCATGTGTGACTGTGCTGATAAGACTAATGAATTCTATATATTTTTTCCTCTTTTCAGAAGAGGCCTGGCAAAAAGATGAGGCAGAAAATTAAGAGCCGTTCCCGATAATGATTGGAAATGAAATGACATTTTGAACCATACACAATATTGGCATATAGCCAGGAATAGATATCGGACTTGAACCTCCCTGCTTATGGATGTGCTGTGGAATGGCAGATGTTTCTACTTGATCCTAAGCACAATATAATTCACACACAAATGGCAAACAGATGCTTTTTGTTGCTGCCTTTCTTTCAGACTAGTTTGATAATTCTTAATTGAATTAAAAGTATTGATGGTTTCATCCTTCTTCTTTAGGTTTGGAAAGACACATGCTGGAATATTTGAGGAAGATACCAGAGTCCTTCAGTTCTTTGCCTATTGTGCAAAACCAATGTTGGGCTTGCCAAGTACCTGTGTTTAACTGCTTCATTATTTCTTTCACATAATGGCACTTGATTCTCTCTTGAGTATCATGAATTGTGCATATAAGTACTCAAGAGAGATGGCATAATTATGAATGAGAAATTCATTGCCTAGGTATCTTAACGTGAAAAACACACACATACTCTCACTCACGATTTGGGAACAAGTTTATTTTGCAACCACTAAAAGTTCAAAGACAAGACAGCTTCCTTTCTTAAAATAACCAACTACGATAACAAGATGGTAATCTTGCAGGGCAGAAATCCTAAATTAAAGTTTAATGTCTTCACAGTAAAATCCCTTGAGGTTACTACGCCCTTATTTGCTTTTGGTCATCGCCTTCAAGCGCCACATAGCATCCATGTATCTGCTGATTTCAGTGCTCCGACTTGGGAAGTGCAGCCTATTATCATTCCGGTTGATACTGATCTGTGAAAGAGAATATGATTTTAATATAAGAGCATTTAAATAAAAAGGAACAAAATGTTGGATGCTTCAATATAACTTACTCTCATCTGACAACCCATTTGATGCTATCTGAACCCTTTCAAGGCTTTCCAAAATGGTATCTTCCTGTGAAGGCTCATCTTAATCATGGCAGTATTTCAAAATTTGCGTGACAGTCTTCCCACAATATTTAGCTTTCACTGAAGTCCTACTTACCAATGGTGTGGAAAACCAACCAATTTCCTGACTTTCAGTTTGGGGTTCTGTGTATTTCTTGGGTGGTTCAAGTACAGCATGATGAATAATGTTTAGGAATTTAGCTGTTGAGTTAAAGCAGTAATTATTAGGTGAATTGGGTGTGAAATAAATGTGTGCAAGTAGATTACTTAGAATTATGTAAATAGTGAGTTCTATTGAACATTTAATTATGTTTTGGTTTACATAACTTACAGCTCTGTATCCAACATTAGGTATTTTACTTTGGAATATACAGTACATGATGCTATTCAAGAAATACTGTCACAAGATGATTGACATAAAGTAGAACACCAAAACAAACACAAAATTTAACTTTATTAAATTGCTCTAATGGTTCTTTCGGGGGAAATGTTAGGCAGCTTTGGTGTGGCATTTATATCTTGTATGTTTAATGAAGCAAAACTGCAAAACATACCTTTTGTGTGCTAAATTGACAAACATACTTAAATGTGAAAATACGCATTTAACCTTTTCCTGTATTTAATACTAGATTGTAGATCATGAACAATTTCTGCCTAGTAACGTTCTCATTTTTTTGTATTATGGGTTCTCATTCTGATCTACATTTTGCCCTAATTTTTGCTTGGCATCTGGTTCCCTTGCAATTCCGAGAAATTTTATATCCTGCTGTTTTAGACAATATTTAGCATAATTTATAGAAATACAGAAGCCAATACAAAATATAATTGCAGAAGATACTTTTTTGGGAGAGGCAAAAAAAGTCCTACACTTGATCTTGACCAGAAGCAACCCCATACATCCATCTAATCAGCCCACTTTTCGTTTTAGAATACTTTTAGATTTTTGTTTGCATTTGAATGTGTTTTGTTTTACGTTCTGGTGTGAGAGAAGTTCCCTGAGGTGGGCTTCAGCATGAGTTCGAAAGCTCAGAAAACTAAACCTCTGGTCCCAGTGACCAACCCAGATTGGACCTTGCAAAATAGATTTAGTTATATTTCCTCTTCATTTTTCTCTTACCTAATGCCCTAACTTCTTTGCAGAATTTTACACGATGTTGGTTAACCCAAAAGAGAATAGTTTGATGGGCTTGTATGAATAAAAGGGCTGAAATCAAATTTGATGGCATCATTTTACAGACAGGAAATGTAAGCACTTTTTTGAGCAAAGGTAGTACCAGTAATAATAGGCGCCTTGGGTGCAATCCCAAAACAACTGGAGCACCACTTGAACACCATCAGCACTGACAAAATTCACGAGTCAATTGCAAAAGGCAGCTTTACTTGGAACAGCTTACATCCTCCAACAATATCTGTAACATCACCAAACATTTACACTGCCTATCCCAGGTCCTTGGAAAGAGCTTGGTAAGTGGATAAAAATGCCAGATCCAATCTGGCTAACTGCGATGAACCATAATAACACATTAGGACATTCTAGGTACGTGGGAAAAACTACATACAAAAGCAAATATCAGCTAAAGGATTGGCAGCTTCACATTGTTGTGAAAGATAGTAATATTAAACATTTGGCAATCAATCGTAATAATAAAATATCAGCATCTATAACAAACTGCAATTTTTTAAAAACTGCTGTAACAGGGTCTTACCATCTGCAGGCTCCTCTAAGTTATCATGCCAAGAGGCAGGTTTCCCAGTTAAGGCATGAACTGGCGGTAAAAGCAAGATTATGGAATTAGCTATTGCTGATCTTCAAATTAAAGCTGTCTTAAACTTCGTTTTAGACTTAAGAGAATGAAAAAGTTCTCCTTACCTTGATTTCTTTGGGAACAGTAACATTTAGCTTGAAATGTAGATTTTTGCAGAACCAAAAACACACATAGAAACTGATGATTTCAGACAAGTCTCTATCTTTCACCACACTCCCTTTATATATCAATATAGTCTACATCAGACTTTGATTACATTCAATGGCAAGGATACCTTAAAAGGGGGGGGGAAGGGAGCAATACAGGTAGTTGACTTACGACCCCAAATGAGCCCAAAATTTATGTTGCTGAGTGAAACATTTGTTAAACGAGTTTTGCCACATTTTACGACCCTTCTTGCCACAGTTGTTAAGTGAATGGCTGCAGTTGTTAAGTTAGCAACATGGCTGTTAAGTGAATCTGGCTTCCCCATTGACTTTGCTTGTCAGAAGGTCACAAAAGCTGATCACATGACCCCAGGACATTGCAACTGTCATAAATATGAACCAGTTGCCAAACACCTTAATTTTGAACATGTGACCATGGGGATGCTGCAATGGTCATAAGTATGAAAAACGGTCATAAGTCACTTTTTCAGTGTCCTTGTAACTTTGAACGGTCACTAAATGACCTGTTGTTAAGTCTAGGATTATTTGTATTTCACAAAACTGCCTTCTTCCGGCCCCGCTTACCTTTCATGAGCGGGTTTAAGGCATACTCGGTATGCAGGCGCTGGCATCGCAGCTCCTTCCGGACCGTCTCACAGAAGATCTTGTTCTGACTTACCGGGTCCAATGGTTCCTTTACGCCCCCCTTAGCCACAGCCATGCGGCGTTATTTAGAGCGACTGTCAATCGCTCCAGAACTTCTGCCGACGCTTTCTCTGGGCTGAGCGTATCCAGGGGCGGAGATCGTCGCTTCTGGTCTCCAAGCTACGTATTGACGAAGAACGTCGCAAGCCGGAAATTCTAACTCCTCCTCTCTTTCTCTTTATTGGCTGAAAAACTAAAGCTTCCAAAATGCTGATTGGTCGTTGCGGCCGGTAGAAAATATTTGAATCCGCATGAGTCCGCAGCACGACCACGGCGGAGAAAGGCAACTTTAACGTGAGAATGTCTTTTCAAAACCCGGCTTGTTCAACAGCTAGCTAAAAGTGTCTGTTCCGCACAGGAGTAGACTTTAGTCGGTCTCGATCTCGTTCTGTCATGTTTGTGTGTTGCTCTCTCGTCTTCACGCCTTAAAATGCAACCGGCAGAAGACTCAGAGCTGGCTGGGAGGATTCGCTGCACGGTAGCAGTTGAGCATCTGGGTGCAGCGGCTGCCCCGAATCGGTTGCTCCTGAGAGATGCCTGGGTCACCCTTGGGCGGAATGAGTTCCGCGAACTGGTATTACAGGTGACGAACACCTCGGGTCCAGGCCGTCTCCAGAACTTCCCTTTGCGACAGAATGAAATGCGACTTTTCACACGTTTTGTGAAAGATGGGAAGAGCTCGATCCGGTTGGGTCCCTTAGGTTCCAATTATGTACAGCTGCTGCTCTCTAATTGTCCTCCGGATCGCTTGCGTCGCTTTGTTCAGACTCTGCGCATCAAATTTGAAGCCACGCAGCACAGAATGAGGCCGGTGGCTGAGCGGACAAGGCTCCTCTCTAGCTTGCCACGCACATTTGACACAGTAAGCCCGGTGCAAGTCCGCGATTTGCAACAAACAAATACAAGAGAAGCTCTGGCTAAGGTTACAGCCACCCCCACGAAAGGACAAACTTTACGCTGCAGGTCTCGGAAGCGTCCTATGGAATCAGTGGATGGGAGGCAGGTAAGCTATCATCTGCCTGAAAAGTTAATACAGTATTTGCTTATACTATAAGCATCAATAATACTAAACACTAAAGAAAAGATACAGTCATACCCTCTGATGGCACTTTCCCCAAATCCAAGAAGGCTATGTTGACTATGTTGATTAGATGACATGTTAGGAAGATAGATTTTATTAAAATTTACAAATAAAAGGATAAAAAACTAATACAAACTAAGAAAAATATAAAAAAGAAAAGAAGAAAAGTAGAAATAAAAACAAAATAGAATATATACATAATACATATACATCCGGTTCCACCAGAACTGAACTTGCACTCCCAACTCATCTTCCCTCGTTCTTTCCTTCCCTTTTTGGCAAAGAGATAAAAGTGCAAACCTTTGATGGCACTCAGCCACTATAATAATAAGTTCTGATTTCCTGAGATTCAAATGTATGATTTTTGCCTTTGGAACATCAGTTAAAATATGGATTGTCCACCAGATGACTGAAGAACAACAGGTGAAGAAGCCTTGGTTGATGAGCTCCAGAGCAACCCTTTCCCAGGAGCAGTCAAGAGTGCTGAGTGCTGTGTTGAGTGGAAAGAACGTCTTCTTCACAGGGAGTGCTGGTAAATGAAAAGGGGTGAGAAGGGTATATATCAGTGTTTCCCAAACGCTGGCTGTGGAATTCTGGGAGTTGAAGTCCTCATGCCTTAAAATTGTCAAGTTTGGGAAACACTGGTATATATGATTAGTCACTTCAAATTAGGAATCCCAGATCTTTCCTATGACTATGGTGGGGATTCAAGCTAAATAGCTCCCACTGCTTTTATTCATAAGAGATTTACCTCATGGTTTCTGGATTTCTTTTGCATGTGTATGAATAGATTTTCATTTTTTGTGGAGTTCTTAGTGATAAACTGCCTTTTTTTAATTGTCAGACCTGTAAAACACAAGTTCACTTTTGTCAGTAAAAAAAGTCCAAAGGGTAAGAGCAAATGGTCTAAGGTCATGCTGCAAATAAAAAAAATGAAGATTCCAATAGAACTGAATAAATGTAGCTCGGGGTTGAACAATGGAGTTCTTGGTGATCTCTGAGTTTGGTTTGCTCACAGATGTTTCATTACCTGATCAAGGTAATATCAGTGCTACCCTGTGTAGAGTATGCTACCTGTTTATATACAGTAGCTTGTTCTGCCATGTTGGTGGGTTTCTCATTTTCTCCTTGGTAGTTCCTTGATTAGGATATTGTAAAATTCTAGTTCCGAGGATTATTGGGTATTGTAAAATCTTAAATCCATGCATTATTGTATTGTAAATCAATATCCTAATTTAGGAACTACCAAGGGGGGGGGGGACTCCAAGACTGGTGGGGCAAGCTACTATAAATAAACAAAGAGTAAACCCCACTCTCACTAGCACTGATGATGTTACCTAATCAGGTAATGAAACATCTACAAGTAAATAACCAAGCTCAGAGATCATCAAGGACTCCATCGTTCAACTATATTTATTCACTTCTTTTGGAATCTTCATTTTTTATTTGCAGCGTGACCTTAACACTATTTGCTCTTACCCTTTGGACTTTTTACTGACAAAAATGAACTTGTGATTTATGGGTTTGAAAATTAAAAAGGCAGTTTATGGAAAGAAGGAAGCTATGATGTAACTGTAGAGAGAGGGTAAAATGTAAATGCATTTATAATTGCTGCAAAGAAGATCATAAGATGCTTCTTTATAATTTTTCCTTTACCCCCTTTTTTCTATTTTTTTTCCTTTCCTTTTTTTCTTTTCTCACTATGCACTATTTTTCTTTATGTGCTCTATTTCTTTCCAATGGTTTTTACTTTGTTAAAATTTCTTTAATACACACACACACAAAGTCCCCGGTTCAGTGGAATTGCTCTGTTTTAAACTGACCCACTGTTGCATCCTAAATACCAACACTTAAGCACAGGAAACTTTGTACAGTACTTGCCATTTAAATAGTCCCTAAATAATAATAAATTGTAGAGGAGAATATGAGCAACTTTGAATGAATTGAGCTGAATGTTTTTTCTCTAACGGTAACTTTTGTTTTCAAAGGAACTGGCAAATCCTATTTACTGAAAAAGATTGTGGCCTCCTTTCCTCCAAATGGCACTTACGTCACAGCCAGCACGGGAGTGGCAGCATGTCAGATTGGGGGCATCACACTCCATGCTTTTGCAGGTAATTGGAGTTCAAATCCTGGGAAGGAGAGAGGTTGGAAAGAATTTAGCCTGGTATGCCACTCTTGCGCTCTCTTAATTTCCCCTTTGTAGGTATTGGGTCAGGAAAGGCCCCTCTGCATCAGTGTCTTGAGCTGGCCCAGAGACCTAGGGTTCGGCAGCAATGGCTGAATTGCCGCTGTCTGATCATTGATGAGATCTCAATGGTGGAAGGGGAATTCTTTGATAAACTGGAGGCAGTGGCTAGGTATGTAGAACCTCCTTTTCTGAATGTGTTCCTATACTTACACTGTTCCTAAGTAAATGGATCTAGAATACCACAGGAAGCGTTGCAGACAGCTAAGGAGCAGTCACCTTATGGATATTAGATTAGCTTCTTCCTACATGACATTTAGAAGTTTGTTGAAAACAAAGTTTTTCCAGAGAAGGTTCACAATCCTTAACTATTATGCCATCTTTTTTTATTTTCTATTTTTGTTAGTTTTATTGTTAATCTCTATCTTGGGTATTAACTTTATGATTTATTTTCATCACTTTAATCCTATTGTACCATAGGTTTTTTTTACTTATATAAACTGCTGAGAGTCATGAGATTTCAGCAAGATAGATATTACCACCTCTCTCTGCTGCAGTAATATAGCGTTAGTAACTAAAAGATTGGTCATCTGGTTAACTCATGAACTGGCTTAGATTCTAGCTGTGACTCTTAATCTCAATTTCACTAACTCTTGAGCATACTAAGAAGCACGTAATATATTCTCCATCCACCCCACCAAAAGTATCTGAAATCCCTGAGGCACTTTTCAGGTTTTAGAAGGGAATATGCAATGGTGTGATTAACCGTTAGAGGAATTATGGACTTTTGCAATGGATTGAAAACCTGTGGGGGATTAGGTCTGTAGCCACTATTGTCACTGTACTTCTAGAGAGAAGAGGGAGGAAGGGAGGGAGGAAGGAAAGAAAGGGAAAAAAGGAAATAAGAAAAAAGAAAGCTAGCTGTTGGAAATGGGAGTATGGCTTATCCTTTCATAATTTGGAGCTTTTCCAGCTTGATTGGGAATCCTGGAATTGCAGACCTAATACACTAAAAAACTGGATATTACATTCAATTTCCCTGGCCCAGATCATTAAAAAACCTCTTTTGAATCCTTGTTCTGTTTGCTTTCTGGCTAGAGATGTCAGGAAATGTGAGGATCCATTTGGAGGAATCCATCTTATCATTTGTGGAGACTTCTTGCAATTGCCTCCCGTTGCCAAGGACCACAGACAGCCCAAGTTCTGTTTCCAGGTCTGTTGCAATTGCTGCTGTTTCTAACTATGTGGTCAGTCACTAGCTGACCAGGAGTGTGCTTTTACAGGCAAAGAGCTGGAGAAAATGCATCCATCTCAATATGGAGTTGACAGAGGTCCGGAGACAGACTGACAAGGAATTCATTTCTCTTCTGAATGCTGTCCGTCTTGGCAGGTGAGATATCTCCTTGTTCATTAGAACCATCAGGTGGGAAAGGACGGGGGGGGGGGGTGTCTGTCCTCTTGGGATGGAATGACCGAAACCTAGAGATCCTTCTTTTCCCATCTCTCCCTCATTTTATTTCCGAATGTTGACAGTGTTATATCTGCCAAGCTTGAATGCTGACTGAAGTTTCATCATTTTCTTTTAATTCTTCACAAAACTTCGAATATAACATTCTTTGAATGGTGGGATCCTAAGAGAAATGTTGGGTGATATTTGCCACCAGTGAAATAAATTGTGGCAATTGTTATGGCAACCTTTCTGATTCATTGGTTCAGCTATTCCTGTCATTAGCCAGGCCGGTTGGAGTTGATGGAATTGTGCTGTAACACGCGTGGAGTTAAGTGGGATAGGAAGTTAGTGTGGAGGAATGGCCTTTTTCCCTCAATAGGCAGGGAAACATACAGTACAATTTGTCAAATAGATAAATATTTAGTGTTTTCTAGAGTTGCTGTGATGCCAGGATTTCTACACACCCATGGATCTCAATTACAGGTCTTAGCTCTTGTGATTTTAAATACCATTACTGTAGGGGTATCAAACTGGTGGCCCTCAGGCTGGATGTGTCATGTGCAGGCCACGCCCACCCCGGGTCTGCAAAGGAAAAAACTGTCACGATATATCACGATACAACACGTGATGCAAACGAGTTTGACACCCGTGCTCTACTGCAATCTGACAGATGGACAGAGGAAGTCAACAGACTGCTGACCCAAACAGTAATGCAAAAAGTGGAGAGAGATGGAATATTGGCTACACGGTTGTGTACTCACAAGGATGATGTAGAGTTCACAAATACCATGCAGCTGCGACAATTATCTGGTAAGAATCAGGCAGCAACGCCTAGTAAGATACAGTAAGTAGCTCTTTCTTTGCCTTTGAGAAAGAATATGACTTCCAATACGAGTTGTAAAAACTTGGAACCAATAATAGGAATTATTTCATATCATTTTTGTTTTGAATGAAATGTGATATACTGTCTCATCAATTGTAGAGATTATAAGGTTGTACTTTGGGAATCCTGTGAACTCTTGATGTGCAAAATATTTGTGATTGTAGAAGGATAAACTGAGAGCTTGTGGTCAGCTGCTGGAACATTATTTAGGAAGTATTTTTTTTCAAACTAAATTTAGCCAGATGTTCTCCACTCATTTGCACCAATTGGATAAATTTGGAAATTTGAGAATAGACTGTGGGGCAGATTCATAAACTAAATGCACTGTTGGGTTGTCTACTCACATAATTTTTTATATGAGTCACAGAACCTCCATTTCTCAGAAGTTAACCAGGTAGGTATGTTGCTTGCCAAATCTTTACTTTTCTGTTATTTTCCTCCATCCTCCTCCCTCCCTGCTACTACTTTTATAGCAACTGCACTTATTTATAAATCTGTGCCCAGTAGTCCCCTACCTTGTTATTTGTTCAATATTTGAAAGGTCTTCATTTCTAGAGGCTGGAGCTTTAGCTTAAAGCATGCCAGTTTCCATTCCTATTTATTAATTTGAAAAAGAAATTAACAAGTGTAGTGCTGCAGGATGTCTGAGAGGATATAAGTTTGCAACACTGCAATCAGAACTCTAGTAAATAATATGTTATTTCTTTTCCAGGACAGCTAAGGTCTTTCAAGGCTGTTGACAGTGATCCTATGTTGGCAAAGACTCTTGATGCACAGTGTCCTGTGAAGAGCATTATTGAACTCAAGGAAGGTGCCCAGGTGAACAAATAAAACTGAGCACTGCTTGAGACAGAGGTGTTGTGGTTGCTTCTCTTTCTTTGCAACACATTCACATTTGGAATCAGATCTTGCCAAATGCTAGAGCAGTGTTTCTCAACCTTGACAATTTTAAGGCATGTGGACTTCAACTCCCAGAATTCCACAGCCAGCAATGCTGGCTGTGGAATTCTGGGAGTTGAAGTCCACATGCCTTACAATTGTCAAGGTTGAGAAACACTGCGCTAGAGTCTCCTTGATTTTAACACCTATATCCTAATCGCTAAGCACTTCTCTGGATGATTCCCTTACCCACAAATGGGTGGAGGATGGTTTCGTTAGTATGCAGTGGAAGTAAATCTACTTTAGAAGGTGCCGTGGAAAAATCCACAAAAGCATTCCTGCGTCTTTCCTTTTTTAACAGGTGATGCTTACGAAGAATCTTGATGTTTCTCAAGGTCTGGTGAATGGGGCTCGTGGAGTTGTGATTGGATTTGAAACTGAAGGAAAAGGTTGGTTTCTGACAGGCACACACTTTGGATGCTCTCCTCATTGGTAGTCATGTGGTTTGGTTTCCTTTTGCAATGAAGAAAAGACATTCAACTGTTAAGATTGTAATGCCACACTGGTATTAATATTAATAAAAAATAGGAAACTCATAAAAAAAGTTATGTCATATACAGAAAAACTTCCACCCTTCTTTGACAAATTTGTTTGAAAGTGCTGAAGAGTTCAGTTCTAACAAACTTCATTGCTACAGATCAAGTCTAGATTTCACTTTCTAATGTAATCCTGTGCATTGTTCCTTTAAAAGATTTACTCTAGTCTTGCTTCACAGATAGTGGACAGTCATTCTATAAAATACTGTGATAGATAGTAGTTTGGCATATTACCTACACAGGTAGTTCTCAAGTTACAACTGGTTGCATAGCAACCTTTTGATACTTACAATCTGGTTTTAAAGTTCTGATTCCTCCCCCCCCCCCCCGCCCAGGCTTTGTGCCCTATGGGCATAGTTAGGGTGCTTGTCAACCAGATTTATTTATGACTGCAATTTTTGGCATTTTTTTTTTTTTGGCTGGAAATCGCCATTTACTTCTGTTTTCTGGCAAAAACCAATAGCTTCATTTAATGACCATGAGAGTTCATTTAACTTCAATGTTTGCTTGATCCCTGCAAAAAAGATAATAAAATCAGGCATGGTCATATGGTGACACCCTTAACAACAGCTACAACCTATGAGGCTAAATTATGGTTGTTAGTTGAGGATTACCTGTAACCAACAGTAGTGACATATTGCAGTACCGGATAATAGATGTAGATGTACTTTGTACTCTGACTTGTGTTTTGCTATAGGTCTGCCTAAAGTGAGATTTCTTTGTGGTGTGACTAATGTTATTGAATTTGAGCGATTGGTTTTTAAAGGGCCAGCAGGCACTTACCTTACTCGCCAACAGATACCCCTGAAGCTGGCCTGGGCTATTTCTATCCACAAGAGCCAGGTTTGTTATCCATCTTATTTTTGTGGGAAACAAAACAATAATAATGGTATATCACTGGACTTCTCTAAGTAACAGCAGAATTTTGCTTTTTGTACTAGACTCTTTATCAATGTTAAAATGCTGAAAAATTATTAGTCAATTCTGTTCTTTTTTGCCCATACCTGATGGAATCCAACTTGTTTTATTCCCACCAATGATTTATAAAACTGAGCAGACCAAAATTGCACACTAAATGTCATTAAAGTACAACTTTATCCCTAAACTTTAAAATAGAACTTATAATGCACGGGTAATCCTCAGTTATTGACTATTTCTGTTCAGTGACTGTTTAAAGTTACAATGTTGAAAAAAAAAATGTTTACAGCTCATTTATGACCTCTGCAGCATCCCTCTGTCATGTGATTGCCATTACAGTTCGTAGGCATCCTCCTGTGCCCAACCTGTGTCCCCCCCCCCACCTTACAGAGTAGATTAATTGAAGAGAAGGGGATTGGAAGAAAATAAGCTATCTGCCTTTCTAAAAGCAATCCGATCACGTCAGTAGCCCAAGGCTGGGAACCACAGGCATAGTACTCTCTAGAAATCTCTTTCCAATCTCTCTGCTTTGCAGGGGGAGAGGATGAAAAAGCAATTTCTGTAAGCAATCTCTCCTTTGACCTTTTCCTACTGCCAATACAACAACTTTTCTGTTGAAATTTAGAAGAGCAATAACTTACTCTCTTGAAATCTCTTTCTATCCAATTTCTCTATTCTGTGGTGGGGAGGATTAATAAGGGTAGTGATTTCTGTAGTCAATTTCTCCTTCACCTGACCTCCACCCTCCCAGATAATATCATCAGTGAGAATACGTGTGAGTTTTTCTCCTTGTTTATATATAGTACAGGTCAGGGGTAGGCAACCTTGGCTCTTTTATGACTCGTGGACTTCAACTCCCAGAATTCTGGGAGTTGAAGTCCACGAGTCATAAAAGAGCCAAGATTGTCTACCCCTGGTACAGGTAGTTCTCAACTAACAACCAAAACTGGGACTGGAATTTCGGTCAGAAGTTGTGGTTGTAAATCAAGGTACCCACGAGATTGGACTTAGGTTTTTTTTACTGTTTTTAGAGCAGTTATTACGTCCAAATTACATAGTAATTAAGTGAAGCAAATCCATTATTTTGAATGGTTTTGGCTGGAAACTGGCCAAAAACACTGGAAACTGGGAGAAAAAAATAAACCACGGTCATGGGACTGTGGGACATGGCATCTGGTCATAAATGTAAACCAGTTGCCGAGCACCTGACATGCAGCCACATGACTACAGTGGTATCTTTCTCCATTGTGTCTTCAAACGGTCATTACATGAATGTTCATAAGTCAAGAGCTACCTGTAGCTTGTCCTGCCAATTTTGGTGGGAAACCAAAAGAGCCAAAACACATCGTTTCCAGTAGCCAACATCCAGATAATCAGGGATTAGCAGACTAGACAAATAATCACACACAATACAATGCCCTAATCAAGGAAAAAACCATATCCTCACCAATATTGGCAGGGTAAGCTACTGTATATAAACAGGGAGCAACCTCCCCCCCCCCCCCCACACACACATACAGTACACACCAGTACTGATATTACTTGGTCTGGTAATGAAACATCTGTGAGAAACAACCAAGCTCGGAGAGCATCAAGGTCTCCACAGTTATCTGGGTGTTTGGAGCCCTAATATGGTAACCCCATTATACCATTTAAAGTTCTATCACCTAATTCTGGGGTCATCAGAAAATTTACTGCCCCAATTTCTGAGGATATATACTGCTACACAATAATTAAGTTGATGATCGGTGCCCTTTTTTGTTTTTAATCTGGGACAAAGCAAGCAAAGAAATTGGTGGATTCCCTTGGTTTCTGTTTCCTTGGCTTCCCTTCCTACCAAGCACTGCTTGCCAACTGAAAAATAACGAACAACTTTTGCTAATTTGGATTAGGACAATTAGGTGAGTGTAGGCAGGGGCTTAGAATGGTATAATTAGCCTTCTGTCAAACTGTCCAATTAAAAGAATGCTAAATATATATCCGAAAATAGCCTGGATGACAAGTTACAGACATGGAGGACAGTAAGCTAAAGGGAGAAAGAGCGATTGAAAACATGTGAACTTCGTCCTCAGGTAATCTTAAAAGGAATGGTAGTGTCTGCAGCATTAATCCAATTCTGTCCACATGGCCAGCAGCATCTGGAAGTAGCCTGTGAATGTCCATGAAGCAGAAAAGTGTAGACAAAATAGTGCTAACAGTATGACTGTACAAAAATATGTTGGTCAGAGTAGCAGAAAATCTATAATGTGTTGAAACTTAACAGAACAAGCAAGATATAGTTTACAGAGCCCAGATTTCTTTTCCTGGTTTAAGCTGAACTTCTGGGCAGCAAAACTTGCTTTTTTTTTTTTTTTTAATGCCAGGTGCTCTTTCAAGAGTGCTATACTCATGTAAATAAGAAGCCTGCATAAAACCTGTTAAGTGCTTTAGAAAGCACCAGACCTTGCACCAGTAAATTTATCGCCAGGGGTCTCATCTCTTCTGCTACTCAAGCAAAAAAAAAAATCATGCGAGGCAGTTCTTTATTGGAGGAGAGATGCATGCTGGCGGCAGCTGCCTAAAGTAGCAAAAGAAGCTGAGCAGATTCAGCTTCTGATCAGGTCAGCAATTACTCTGTAGAAAAAAAATATGTTAAGACAGCATCCATAGCAAAATTTGTGTCAGGAGAATTACTTTAAAACTGGAACTATAAGTTACATAAGTAGAATTAAGTAGAACTGGAAATAAGTCAAGATCGTAAGGATACGGACATTGACAAAAATAGTTATTATATTTGTACTGCAGTCAGAATGCAGCAAGCTCGAAGTTATAATTCCACCTACTGAATAGTTTCCCATTATTATTCCAAAGATAAACCTGGGCTATGCATCCTAGCAGTTGACTTATGTAGATACTTCAATCTACATTAACTGTTGGTGTTCCTAGCTCAGTCTTGTCTACTAATGATTTTTCATTTATTATCTTCATTTATTTCTTTTTCTAGGGTATGACTTTAGACTGTGCTGAGGTTTCTTTAGCTCGCGTCTTTGAAAGTGGACAGGCATATGTAGCACTTTCTCGAGCTCGTAGTCTTGCGAGTATTCGAGTTTTGGATTTTGAAGCCAAGGTAGTCAGAGCTAATCCATGTGTACTGCGATTTTACAAGGAGCTGAAGAGAGACCAATTTTTAAATCAGGTAATTTCTCATTAGGTTATTCCAGAGTAGTACAATTTGGACAGTATATTCCTCTACAGACTGGATACATGGGGGTGCGGGCAGGAGACTCATAGATTAGAGCAAGGCCCTTAATTGACTAGTGGCATTACTGAGGTTTCTGGGTAGAACAGTACCAAACTCTTGAACAATTATTTTTGGTTTGTAGGTCTCTGTTTTTGTAAATGGTATTTTCCTCATCATCTTTAATAAACTACAGACCATAACTTTACTTAAAGTTTTAACAGAGCAAAGTAGATTTCAGTATAAGGGGCTGAACTGCTTCTTTGGCTGTTTAATAACTTGAGACTTTGTTTGTTTTTACTCTTTAGGCCTCTTTGCATTCCTATATTCATGTTGGTAAAGAAAATGAAAAAGTTAAAGGGACATAAATGGAATCCTTGATATCATTTTATTAATTTACTTTTGGAACAACTGCTTCTACAAATTCATTATTTCTATGAAGTATTGAAGCATTGTGAAGAAGGGAAGAATTATATGAGACATCGTTTTCTATAAACATGGATAGTCCATATAGTCCAATGGATATTTAAGTTTTAACCCAAATCATTCTATTTCTGGAGATTGCACTGACAGATCTTAAAAATTATTTGAAGCCATCTTGATGAAAGTCAAATTTTGCTAGGATATTTACTTCAAATAGTATTTACACTGTGTGTATAATATTTGACATTAGTGAATAAAATTTAACTTAAAGGACTCAATTACTTCCTTAATAAACCAATAAGATTTTACCTAATAATCATTACAAATGCATGAGTGATAATTCAATAGCCTGGATTTTTTGCTTCTCTTAATGTACCAATTTTGAGAAAGGTCTTACACTTTTTAGATTGAAAAGAGACACTTTCATTTTCTTTGTACTGTACAGTATTTTATACAGTATGGCTTCTCGAGTTTAAAAGAAAGCCAACCATATAGAGTGATCTGCATCACATCCTAGTGCCTACAAAGAGATTCTCTATGTATATTGCATTGCAATTTCAAGAATAGAAATTTGTTTCCTTAGTTAACGTAACTTGAAACAAATTCAATTTAAAATCTGAATATCTTGAAGCAAAATCAGTTTTGCTACTTAAATATTCCATATGATATTTGTTAAAATGTACTCTGTTCTACATGCAAAGCAAGCAATTCTAGATTTTCTGTTAACTGCCTAAGAAAACAATGTAATGCTATAGTCTAGTGCAGGGGTAGGCAATCTTGGCTCTTATGACTCGTGGACTTCAACTCCCAGAATTCCTGAGCCAGCATGGCTGGCTCGGGAACTCTGGGAGTTGAAGTCAATGAGCATAAAAGAGCCAAGGTTGCCTACCCTTGGTCTAGTGGTTAAGGCACCAGGCTAGAAAGTGGGAGATTGTGGATTCTAGCTCCATCTTGGCCATGGAAACTAGCTGGGTGACTTTCACTCTCAATCATTCTCTCTCAGCCCAACCCACATTACAGGGTGGTTGTGAGGAAAATAGGAGGAGGAAGGAATATTAGGTGTGTTTGGCACTTTGAATTATTTGTAAAAATAAGGCGGAATACGAATAAATAAAAATATTGCTTTTATATTTTAATGAAAGTATTACAAAGCTACATTACATTAATTGTTCCCTATCTATGATCTGCAGAACAATCTATCTACTGTAGGTTGACCAAACTGCAGATTAAATGAGATTTTGAAATTCTCACTCAATTTGGAATTATCTTATTCTTATGAAATAAGAATAAGAAATTTAACAGGAGTTTTGCCTCACCACCAACTCACAGAAATTGATTAGTCAAAGTGATTTTGAATTAAAGGAACTTTGCCAATTATACATAAAGGAGCATGCAATCTTTTTCATACCACTGAAACAACATTTCAGCTGTATTATACGGCAGAAACACGTTAATAACACTGATTGCATTTGATACATTTGGAATAATCCATATCCTTAGAACAAAGATGGACACTCAAAGCATTATGGAAGCAAAAACTTTCTAAGATGAGAATGATTTCTGAGTAATAAACAGTAAACTTCAGGATTTTGGGAGGAAAAATTCTGAACATTCACATATATCAATTTAAAAATACAAAGTAGACATACTCCTAAGTCAAGTGTTAAATTCTGAACAAAATTAAGGGACATGCTTGGCCAAAATATGACAACTGTTTTTCCACTCTTACAGATACAAATACACAACATTCATGACATGTAATAAAATAGAGTCTTCAATCCAAAATCTCTTTTTTTTGTGCTAGAATATCCAAAGGAAACCAAAATGAATTCAATGGGCAAATACCCAGCGTCTTCCAATCTGCGGAAGGTGTTGAAGTTGTGCCACTTGTAGAACAAGTATTAGAACTAGTATCCTCTTGCTTTTTTGAAAAGTTATTTTCAGCTGATGGCACATTATAAAATGTTTCAGGAAGATCTTCATTATGGTTTACAAGTGGGCTGAACTTTGCTTTCATTGTACTTTTTTCATTCTTATAGTGCGCACTTAAATCAATATAGCATTTGTACATATGCCCCTTAAGTTTCTTATAATCCAGATGACTCAGTTCTTCTGGTAATGACAAAAGCAAGTCTAGTAGAACAGCCGATTCTGTAGAAAGCAATAAAGGAAGCAAAACATAAGTAGTGACTGAGAGCTAATTCATGTTGCATTTCATTTTCTAATTGACATTTTTACAAGTTTTTTCTCCTATACTTCCCCAAAAGGTCTAGCAAAATAATTGTCATTGTTCACTCTTTCCTGCATCAACTTATTTGAATTTTAATTATCACCAAGTCTTAGAGATTTATGGTAATTTCTAACATGTTTGTATGAAAAGCTAAATGAAAACTGTGGTCATTACAATAACAGCTATAATTTCCCTATTATATATGTAGAAAATTATCTTAGCTCACTTCTCATTCGTATTTTCACATGGAGAAATTTGCATTTGAAAATCTTCCTTACTCTCTAAAATCTCAACCATTGTTCCATAAACATTGCTAATAAACAAGCATGTTTTATTTTGAGCTCATGAGGAATAATTGGAACTTTAAACAAGCATTTCTTTCATTTACTGTCCTAAAAGTGCAAAAGTAGATGGCCCACAGAGCTGGCCCTAGAATATTGGATGGGAAATTATTTTAAAATATTTCAAACATAAAAAACCTTGGAGACATTCAATATGTTCTTTCCAGGTCTAGGGCTCTTTCACTCCCTGCAGCATTTATACAATTTAAGTCTTTCTTCAATAAGAAACCTGAGCAGTTTACAAAAATGAAATGTATTACAAAGAATAACATGATAGTAAAAAGCAGGTCTAAGAGCAACTAAAATTTAAAGGTAGAGTAAATAAAACAAATATTGCCATAAAAAGGTAAACATATGTAATTCCAGATGCAGGAACAGCTCATCTTAACTTTTCATCTTGATCTAAATCCCGACTTACCACCAGGTGGTAGCTCTGGTGCTTTAGATCCCCGTGAAATCACTGAAAGATACTTGTATATCTTTTCAAAGTCCACATGTATTTCACCATTTTCTGCAGGGGTCAATTGCTCTACATCTGATGATACAGTTGCTTGGTCAGATTCTGTATTGGATTTCATATTCTTGCTAGGAACAATTGGGATCATGCACTGAGCAGCATTTCCTTCTACAGGCTTTGATGGCACAGAGTGAAGCAAAGAGAGTGGCTCCGCAGATGCAATTGTTAAAACCTAATTAAGATAATCAGAAGTAAAAAATTTCAATAACTCAAATGCCAGAAAACTAAATACTCTGTATTTTGATTACTGCAACTTTGCTGGGAAAGATGAAAATCAAAGAATTGAATAATTGTAATTAGCAATGGTAGACTTGCTTGTTTCAAGAAAACGTTTGCATATCTCTCAAATTATTATTTTCATAGCAATACTTATCTTAATAAGATCATGTTATAGAGGGGATACCACAGTTACCTGGGAAAAAGCAGCTGTTACTGCGTCCTCAAGGCAACCTGTTAACTTCTTAGCTAAACGAATCCATACCTGGAATAGAGAGTATGACACAATATATGAGTATCTTTTGGCCTCCTCGTCTTATCTCTGAAACCATACTTTTAATAATTTCAGACCTCTATAGGTGCTGGAACTGGGGCATCCTTCTGTTTGCATTGGCGATATCGATACCGTGCCTTGACTGCTTCCCTTGCCACACGTTCTTTCAGCTGGTCTACAAATACTAAGATCTGAAAAACATCACACATTAATGTTTAGAAGAAGGCAGCATTCTACTTTTAAAACAACACTGAAAATGGCTATTTTCAGAAAAACTGGAGTTTTCCTCCTGGTGTAAAAGAGAAACATTACAATCAGAGCAGAATCATTTTATTTTCTGTAGCTTTGTGCTTTGTCAGTTATAGGAATAATTATATTCAACCCACTTCACAAATGACCCATCTGTACGTTTTGCTGATTGCATAAACAAATTAGGACATCTACTGAACTTTACATTTTCAAAAATGGAGAACTAGAATCACCCATTAATGAAAATTCTTTAGCCGCAAACAGTAAGTGTAAAGTGAATTCTAAGAGCCATGATGGTGCAGCAGTTAGAATGCAGAATTGCAGGCTAACGCTGTCCACTGCCAGGAGTTCAATCCTGACCAGCTCAAGATTGACAGCCTTCCACCCTTCCAAGGTTGGTAAAATGAGGACCTAGATTATTGGGGGCAATATGCTGACTGTAAACAGCTTAGAAAGGGCTGTAAAGCACTATGAAGCGGTACATATGTCTAAGTGCTATTGCTAAGTATAACTTTCAAACTGTTTAAGGCTATGCTAGTTAAGCAAACTAGAACTCCTTATTAAGAGACAAAACTTTACTAATAGAAAGTTGGCTGTATTCAAATACATTTTTTTTTGCCTTTTTTATCTCATGGAACCCATATATTTCATGGATATTTTGGACCTGAGAAATAATTGGTTCAAAGTCATATCTCAGAATTGTAATTTTGATGAAAATATGGGGAGATTCCATGTATGCTGTTTGAACTCTTTGATAGAAAGGCTGGATGGAAATGTAACAAATACACACAAATAGGAAGTCAAATATTTTTCTATTAACATGCTTCTGCTTTGATTTAAATTTGGCTTGCTGACAAATTCTTAAAAGTGGGAAAACTTATTCATGTTGTGCCATTTAGACATAAGAAAGTATTACTCTTTGACATTTAGGCTTCTTTTTCAGTTCAAGAGGAAAACTCTTATGTTTTATCGTTCAAAACCTATATACACACTTAGCTGAACATATATTGCAAGATAGAATCTTAGTGTATATTTCACATTCTTTATGACAGAGACAAGGATTTAAAATTAGTCCTCTCCTTGTTTTAAAACGCTTGGGGCTCTTCCATTTCATCTTTAAATGTCCTATTTGCATCATTCTAAGGTACTTGCCTGTCATTTCCAAACACACTTCTCAATTAGAAATATATTATGTTCCTATCTTCAGGCTAGATCATTGGTATTATTTGGGCAGCTGAAACTCAAAAATGAGTTTCATTTTTAAAATGAAAAAAAATGTCCAGATTAAATAGTGACTAGGATAACTGAAAACAGTTCAATCCGTAACAGCAGGTATTTATAGAACATAGTATAAAGCAAGTACAATACGGCAAAGAAATAGGTACAGCATGACCTGTTGTTGTTTCGTGTGTGTGTGTGTGTGTGTGTGTGTGTGTGTGTGTGTGTGAGAGAGAGAGAGAGAGAGAGAGAGAGAGAGAGAGAGATTTTATCACTGTCCAAATAGTCACTAGCAGTTTCTCTGTTCCCACAATTTCTTCAGATATTCCCGTCTTTCGTTTTAGTATGACCCCATCGAAGCCTTTTAAGTTATCCCAACCCACAGACTGCGTCTAAACCCACCTCATCTTCGTTTCTGGAAGGCAAGTATTCCTTCAGTTGTTCCGGTCGCAGCGGGCCCGGAGTCTGAGCTTGCGCTCTCAAAGCGTGGAGAAGACGTCGCTTTTCTCGATCGGTCCAAACCCGGATTGTGGGGTCGAGACGGTAGCGAACGGGCGCCGAACGCAGCCTTGATGGTGGCTTCATAGCAATCCCTCCTGAAAGTCCAGGCCCCAAACTAAGAAAAGGCCAGAAAAAGCCTCTTCGCCTTCCCGCGAAATAAATTTCGCCGCCCCCTTCTTTACTCTTCCCGCCCACAAAGTTTCGCAACCTACGCGGCTCAAGATCGCATTTCGTATACAAATTAGCAATACTTCAGCAAGCTACGATTTCCAAGACTCGCATTCTGATGACGTAGACACCTTACCCAACCACCGGCGACCAGAAGAAGGAGAGGGGGCAGGTGACGTAGCCGCTTCCAAAGGAGGGGCGGGGCCGGTAAAGCGGCCGTGGAGTCACAGAAGGGTTTGAGTGGTAACTAAGGAGGATGCATCGAACGCCTTTCTTCCCTCTCGTTACCATGGTTATAGAGTGGGACCGCCCTCCGGCACGGAGCAAATTGTCCTCGAGTCTGGCTACATGTCTATGCCAGGTCGAGGGGTTAGAGTTGCTTTGAGTGTCATAATCCTCTTTCTTTGTGAGAGACCTGGTATGGAGATGGACTGCAGTGAGGTGGCCGACCCTAGAAGGGTTCCCATAGTTTGGAGGCTGGGATTCTGGAGGATATAGAATGCCTTGAACAGAACAAAGCCTTTATAGTTACAACTATATAGGGCTATTGTGTAGTAAAAATGTAATAACTCTAGGCAAAAGATACAAGGTGCAGCTTTTGCCATTACGGTGCCTTCATACCGATGAGCAGTATTTATCAGTAATTTAGTTCTGTTGTAAACATTCATAAAGGATTTGACTGGCCACTAGCAGATGAAATAGACCAATGCTCCTCTTGGCTCCCAGGCAAAATGTCTGTCTGCGTTATTTCATGAAAAATTAAGTTTGATTGAAATCCTAAATCACAGATGTGTAAAATTAAATTTAGAAGCTTAAACCACATCAGCTGAAGCAAGAGCAATTGAAAGGAGAGAGGTGGGAGATAAAAAGTAAAGTAAAAAGTAAAAAGGAGGTACAGCTAACAGGAAAATACTAATCATTTATTAAAATAAATATTCACTCATGATACAGAGATTTTCTATAAGGACTATATATTTGTAGTCCATTCAGTAAACATTTAGAAATTTGAGAGCTACCCAGTTATACAAATATTTACTGTATCTGTACATTTTCAATTTTAAGAGCATGGGAGTTCATATTTCTTGGCAAATAATGATTATAGTTGTGCTACCATCCCTTTTGTTTTAAAAGACACTTAAATTGTGTACAAAAACATCACCCAAACTAAATATTTGTTGATTTACTTTAGGTTCCTATGCCATAATAGTGAAAATTATAAGCACAAACTTCCTAGTCAAGAAAATACTTATAAAGTGATTCTGAATACTAATAACTTGGGATTGATAGATTCATAATCCAAAGAAATCCCACCTTAGATACTCTTATTGACATGAGGATTGGTTACATAAAAGGTTGGTTACATGAGATCACAGTTATACTTGGCATAAGATATGTGAACTCACAGTAACTGTGTTTGAGATCTGTTCATTACTCTGTTTTCTTAATTTTGGTACATTGCTACTTATAGTATTGCTATTAGTTTCAGTGAGCCATTTTTCAGTCACTGATGTAACTTTGCAAACAACAGATTGAAAGTGAATGCAGGGAGGCAGTGATGGAAGCAGTACAGTAAGTACACTAATTGTGATTTGGTCACCTGATCCCCACAGATTAGGAGGAAGCTGTGGTGAATTCAACTAGCTGTGACTCCTGATTTGAGGCTCACTATATTAGAACAAGGCCATTTATAATGAATATATTATATTGGTTGTTGTTAAAATGGGAGTGAGAAATCCTTATAAAATTGGGTTGTGATCCAAGATCTGATATTATATCCTGATTTACTTTTATCTTACTCGAGTCTAGACTGTTGGTAGGTGTGAGCTAGCTTTCAGGAGTTTCAGCGCACCATTATACTGGAAAAGGCAGTTTTGTAAACATTGAAATAAAGGTACTTTGAATGTAAAATAATTTCCAGACATAGCAGTTTGCTAAGATTTTACTTTGTTTTTCAGGCTGTGCACTCTTTCTTGATTTGTACAAATCTGATAATGAAACTTTTTCAGGGCAGGCATCTGTTGAAGAGGAAGAGACAGGTAAAAAATTAATAAAGATGAATTCCATTTTTCCAGAAATATTTTGAGATTTCTAGCAATAGATGGGGGTATTTAGCTTTTCCACATATGTAACTCCTGAATATTAAAGTCTAAAATCTCTAGTTATAGCATTATGTTCTGTCCAACTGATCTAGTCATAAATATAGGTATTATTTAGAACTGTACATTAATACAGCAGATAAACCTTGCCATCCTACTCTCTTAGGATTCTACATCACTTTTATTTCTTTCAGAACTCATTTTTGTCCACATTGGTGCCAAGGAATTCACCATACCATGCAATCCTGAGAAAACAGATGCTATGATTGGTATGAATTCTACCTACAAATGGAGCCTGGAAAATAGAGGTTAGACTTTGTTGCTTAGGGCTGAAGATTTCTTTATAGAGAACAAACGTATGATGGAGGAAATAGCATTCTTTTCTTGTGGAGATATCTACGAATATGTTCTGGCTTCTTTAGATTACTCTGCCTCAGAACCATAAAGTAGATTTTTTGAGAACTGAATTCAAATATTTTATAAATATTTTATAGTAGGAATAAATTCCAAGTGCCTGTCAGATCTGCCTCAGTCTGATCTCCTAGTGAAGTAAAACTTTCAACTCCATTTGTTTAAAGTGAAAAGGCACTTTTACTAAGAGATGCTGATTGCAGTAGAGTCAAGCGAGATCTAAAGTTCCCACGCACCAATAAAGGACTAACCTCTTGGTTCCCCTTAGCCCTCCTCCCATGATCCATACGTGTGTAGCCAATCTGGCACTACCAAGATGTTTTGGGAAATGCTGAGATGTTTGAGCTGGTAAAATTCCACTCTCAGGGTAAACTGCCTTGAAGATGCCAGCACACCATCATGAACCAGATTCCAAAACGCTCTGTTGTTCCTCAATTGTCAATCCCCCCTCCCGATTTCCCATCAACAAGGTATACAGCTTTATTGCCCATTTGTTCCCCCCCATCCCTTCCTTGATTGATGTCAGAACGCCAGCAAGGTGCCAAGCTGAAACTGGTGGATCTTACAGTGCCTGGCATGTAGCTAAAAAAACCAGCAGTAGCTAAGTTGGTGTCCTTCAGATGCCTTGGTCTTTAACTCTTAAGATATCTGATGATTGGTCATGCTGGTTAGGACTTTTGGACTTCAGAATATCTGGAGGGTTGTTTTTAAGACTGTTAAAAGATTTGAACTTGCTAAATTAACTTAGAACAATTTTTTTCCTACTCTACTTTAAGAATTGACTATAAATACAAATTATAGGAGGCATTACACACCCTTAAAATATATTATTAGATGGTCTTTTTAGTTTGTAGTTGTTTCCAACACAATATTATTTCTGGATAATACCCACTTAATTACTCAATCTCAACAAAAGTTTTGAGGAGATGGAAATATTGCATAACAACCTTTAGTATTTTTTCTAGTTTTATCTTCTGTGAAATGTGCAACATAATAATTTACTGTCAATTTACTGTAGCAAAAGGTATAAGTTCACTATCAGGTTTCTCCAAGAAAACAAATAGGCATTCAAGGATAAATTCAGAGAAGTAGATTTACTGAAATAGTTATGAAAGAATTCCTGCAATTGCTGTGTATTAAATGAGAACCTTATTTATGGTGCATTCAAAGTTCAGATATTATACTTCTAATATAATGCATTAGAAGCTATTCTTTTTGGATGGGTATGATGGTTTTGTCTGTCCTTTATTCTGATAATAGATGGATCAGGTACCAGGCTGATTGCTTATATTGTATAACTTGTTCTCACATATGCTTTTTTTTGCATCAGTATAGTTTAAAAGTGTGGAATATAACATTGGCTGAAAAAATAAACACAAGAAAGAATTTTGAAAAATTATTTAAAGTTTGCTATTTTTACAATTGCTTTCAAATGTTTAGTTATATTAAAATAATTCCCAATATATTATCTTTATCATTCTATATACCTCTTTTCTGAGCAGAAATACTGAATGTAGATGTTTAAAATGTTGTATCTCTCCAAAAGATTACAAATGTACAACGGCAAATATCTCTGGAATCTTTTGTTTTTGTATTTTATTCTTCATGATATTCCTTTCAATGTGTTGGTAATGTGTTGTTTTATAAATATATAACTTTAAATGCCTGGAAGCACATAGTTTACTTACTTCTTCCTTAGGCAAAAGCACAAGTGTCTAATGTTTGATTTGCTAATAGTTATGTGTGTCTGAATGAGCACACACAGAGAGATGGAAATTACAGCCTAGAGAAAGAAATTCAGTTTGTCAAGCTAATTTCTTAAGAAGTGCTGATGGTAGTGCTGTAGTTACACTAACTACTAATGGACTGCCCCATTAACTTTCTTACATTGTGAAATTTTAATGTTGTAAGCTGTCAGGAGTCACTGTGTGTGATTTGGGTAGCCATATAAATTTATTTAAGAAATTGAGACTTCTGGTCTTGCATCGTAGTGATGTGGCCGAGGGATTGCGGGGTTCCGCACCCCACGGCTGGTTTCACCCTGCCAGGAGACCCTGAATGGGTCTAAGTCGCCCCGGAGAGGCAACCAAGAAGGAGGGGCCCCTCGCTGATCATAGAATGATGGTGATCAATCCAGGGGAAGCCCTCCAACCCAACAGGAGAAAGGCTAGACACACCTCGCTGATTTGCCCAAGCTACTGGAAGCTGAAGTCCAAAAGCACTAACTAGAACAACGTTGAACAGTGTGCTTGGAACTGGGTCAGAATATCGATTTTCTCTCTCCTAACTGATTTCTAGAGGAAATCTGGAAAAGATCCCCAAGAAGCAAAAAATCCTTTGAAAGTGAGAAGGGAGGGGATTACACCCCCACCCTTCCATAGATGGAAGTGGTGAATTAATGTTTATGGGGGACAGAAATATATTGAAATGAAGTTAATAATATTACAGTCTGGATAAATCTGAAAATTATGCAAACTATTAAGATTTCACATCTGAAAGAGTATTGATGAAATTATAAGAAAATAATTCTTTGTCTTAAAAGTTGGAAAATGAATAGATACTGACATCTAGTGGAGGATTAGAGCATAACTACAGCTGCACTGACTCAGAAATTGGCAAGCCGTCCAGAAATAGAAAAAACTTGTTCCTTTGAACCTCAGTGATTTTTAGCCAAATGAAGAACAGCTAGAAACAGGAAAGAAAATACAATAGGGCCATCTACTACAGAATGTGAACTACATTTGTTTTAAAAACTGCTGACCTTCTGGGACTGAGCTGTGATTTCTAAGTCCAAGAACTGTTTGCAGAGTAAGAAGAATCTTGACTTTTGACTAATCTTCTAGGGGGGAATTTACTGGAAAGCTTTCAGGTGGCTAAACATTCTGGACTGCAATTCTGGTTGGTTGATAATTCCAAGACCCCTGAATAGAAGAACTGTTATAAAACACTGCTTTGAATGATGCTTTGACAATTGGAAACACATTGGATTACAAAAACCATATATAAAGATAAGAACTATATAACATTTGGTTGTTTGGATTTTAAGATTGGCTGGTTTGATAAGGCTAATCACAGAGACTATGGTACTGGTGAAAGACTGTCTGGAGGAGGGAGACAAAATGGATGTTGCATACCTATCTAAAAGTGATAGGAAACCACATCTAAGATTCCCTTCTGAAGGCCCTAGCCTGGAACATCAGAGAACTGCAGGAACAATACTCCAAGATAAGGCAAATACTTTCCAGGAGGAAATGTATGCCATGCTGTGACAGATTCAAATGACAATGGTTTCAAACCACGATGAGATTAAAAACAACTTTGATGACATAAAATGAGCACATCTTCAACCTAAACTTACAATTAAAAAACTCTCAGAAAATGACGATAAAGAATGAACAAACAAATAGATAACAGAACACAAACCAGAAGAAAGGGACTTAAATAGGGAATCTATAAGTAAAGAGAATCACAACTTAACACAAACAGAAGAAAATCTATAAGACTTTGCTACAACAATGAAAATGGAAAACATATTTTATCTTTCAGGATTTCAAAACAAATTCGAGGACAAGAAAGAAGATCTAACAAAATGGATTATAGAGTTGCCAGGAGAATTATTAGAGTCTGGGAGACAAAAAGCATACATCCTACTCAACTTGTCTGTCTTACTCCCAACAACACTTACAAAAATACAGGAATCCCCTGGCAAGCGGAACATACTAACTTGGGAAGCTGCTTGGCAAAAGGCTAGAGTTAGATTCAAGAGATTTGATTTGACTTACCAGATGGAGTACTATACGATTAAACACTTGTTTGAATATGGTTAAAAGAATAGATAAATTTTGGATATAAAGGGGCTCTACAGTAAGAGGGATAAGATATATAGGTAGTATAGTATTTTTTATAATATGTGAAATGTAAAAATATTGGGATGGTGTATGTGAATGAAAAGTTTGGATATTTAAAGGTAGTCAATTTTGAGAAAATTATGACTGATAAGAATGATTTGAATACTGAGGGGAAAAAGCTTAAATAAGAATCTTGAAAACAGGACATATAGTGACTTAATAAGATGACTTTTACAAATACAATTGAAACATAAGCCAGAAAAGATGTTATATATGGATGTTATTGTTATTTGTACAAACACAAGAAAAATATTTATATCCAACCTTGTATGTATTGAAAATATTAAGAATTATATTTGTTTAATGTTGACAAGGGAGAATACTACTGGAAGAAGAGAAGATCAAGGAAATATACTATTAATTAATATATTGATTATGGAATTATAGAAATTAATCATTGTTTTTAAATATATGAACCCAGACAAGACACTGTTTACTAAGCACTAAAGATTGTTATAGTAAAAAATCAATAAAATATATTTAAAAATATTTATTAAATGAATAAATAAAATTTCTAGTTCAGTGCAGGTGCTTTGGCTGATTGACTAAGATAAAGTTGCCATTCTCAAATGATAGGACTTTGCTGTCTGCTTTCCAGGAGACCTAACTCTTTCTGGTGCCTCCCTGATTTTGCATGAATTTCGTGCTGAGGACAGTGGACACTATACCTGTTCCATCTCTTTCACAGAGGAAGACCAGCTCCATACTGTGACTTTCTCTCATATTGTGGTGGGTGAGTATATCACTGCTGTTATGAAGGATAGATAAACAACAGGGAGCTAGTGTTATGAATGCTTGATAAGAAAACAACATTTTATTTGGTTTATTTGATTATATGGAGAAATTGTGGAAGAAAATGTTCTTTAGAAATAAGCGAGAAGAAAACAGTTTTCCCATGGCTGGATCCTCTAGCCAAATGCCAACATACCTTTTCAATTTTCTAAGAATTCATTATTCTTTCCAGAATTTAGAGTCTGATCGTTTCTTCCTGATTGCTGTGATGTGGTGCATGCCAAAATATTTTGAGTCACTATCCTTATAGTGGAATTTAAATTTAAATTTGTTCCTTTCCTCAGGATATCACATACGTGGAGAATTACAGGTCCTCCTGATTTTTCAGAGCAACTCATGTGATAACTCATTGATGCATGAGTTTGTGAAGATTCTACGCACACAACTGAGTCAATTGGTATCCCACCTACATTGTGAGCTTCTTTCTGAGAGCACCACTTGCTTTCCTACTGTGGAGAAGCCTTTAGATGAGTTCAACCTCCAAGTAGAGCTAAAAGGTCAGTGCCAAAAAGGGATATAGTTTGGAGGCTCCCATATGAAATCAGGAAGATAGATTTCAGTTGTACTTTGGGGAGAAAGTGAAGTTTAGCATAGGAAAGATTCATGCAGAAAAGAAGATTTTTCTACTTTCAGTTTGGCTTTCAAACTTTCAGAGGTAAACTTTCCCTGAAATCACTGTCTACTACTTATAATAAATTTTGGGTTAAGAGTTGCTTTCTTGGAGTAATGGAAAAGCTCTTGTTTGAGGGACAAGGACTATTATATAAATATATTATGAAGTAGACAACTTCATAATATAGTTTAGTCACTGTAATTTTTTCATGCTGCATGCAAGTAGTATACTGTCAGTTGATTTTACAATAAACTTCTTCTCCAAAGAGCATAGAACATTGTCCAAAAAAGATTTTAATGAAAATACATATTATTTTGCAATATTTCAGGGTGTTTGGATTCTTTGTGTGGATCTAGTGGTTAGAGCAGATCACAAAAACAGTAATGTATTTTTGTTTTCCAGTAACTCCATTTGGAAAGGGCTGGGATAAATCCTGCTACCCTCAGGTTGATTCAATGGCATTAGAATGTTACCACTCAGCAGTCCAGAATAATCTACAGGAGGTTTGTAATTTGTCCCACTAGGTTTTGGAGCTAGTTACATTTTTACCAAATGTACGCTAGGAAGCTTATCTTTTAAAATGCAACAAGAGATTTCATGTACTTGGATCAACCACATCTGGCAAAGGTCAACGGGATGCATCGCTTTTTATTCTGCTCTTGTCACTCCATTTACACCTAATCAGAATCTGTGAATAGGCATTTTGAATCCACAAACTATAGTTGATACTTAATTGATCTATGGTGGTGGGGCTATTTACTGTGGGGTGGGAATCAAGAACATCAAACAGCAAGTCTGTTGAAGAAGTTGATGTGTGCTTTTATCCACAAGACATTTGGTATACAATTAACCAGGCTTTGCCTACTCACTTTTATGGAATATACATGATATTACCAGTAATTGCTGACCTTCTGAATTTTCTGTTCACTTATTTTTTTTATTTCTTTTTTCAAGTACACACACACACACACACACACACACACCACACTCATAGGAAAAGCGATTATCTGTTTCATTTTGTGGCTCCTAAACTTTTCTTTTCTTGACCCATTGCTCTACAGGCCAAGGAAGCCATGACTGAATTTATGGATAAGAATAAACACTTTTCTCTGGAAACAACAAATGGTTCCCATGTTTCTTTTGTCAACACCTTTTTCAATTTCTTAGAAGATGGAAAGTGCCAGGATGGTTATGGACAGACACAGGTGCTACAGGCACGCTGTCCCGACTGCTGTAGTGAGTGAAGCAGGTGATCCAAAAGCTACTGCCTCATCTGTCTTCAGACATTGTCTTTGGTCTATAAACTGCTATTTCTCTGTGTGCTGTGGGAAGTCTTTTACACATTCTGTTCCTATCCATTTGTCTTGTCTTTTTCATATAATGTTTTCTGAAGCTCTGTCAGGTGTATCTTGGAACCCATGGAGATTCTATCCAAATGTAGGGGGCTTATTTATTTATCAGCGTGTACTGAGTATGATTCCTCCAAATCAAGAATTTAAAAAAATGTTTAGAAGAACTCAGATTTTCTAAAAAGATAGATTTGATGTGGTCAACTCTGAAATTCATCTTCTCTGCTCCCCCCAAATTAAGTTAATGGAGAAATGACATTCTTTTCACTTTACCCTTTATCTGCCATTTTTCTGGACAGCTTTGTGCCCTCCTGGAACATACAGTGTGGCTACCACTGACAGCTGTGTCCTCTGTCCAGTTGGGAGCTATAGCTTGCACTATGGGACAGTCCTTTGTATTTCATGCAACCACAGTTGGCTTACCTCACATCCTGGTGCCAGAACATCGGCAGACTGTATGAATATGAGAGGTATGTATTAGATTGGATATTTCCTTAGAGTCCCATTTTAGGCAGCAGTTATTGGACAGTCAGTTTTTGATTATTTTTTTAAAATACAAATACTACCTTTAGAAGGAATTTTCAGGACTACAGCAGGAAAAGGATTCATTTTTTTTCTCTTGTGTCAGTCATAATCATAAGCAACCCCATCGCCCTACTAATGTTAAGAACTCCATGCTAAAAGCCTAAATACAGTTAACATTTGGGCCTTATTTGGCCTCCCAGTGTTGTTCTTTCAGTGACATAAATTGAAGGATGTGGTGAGATATTCCATCAATCTGTGGAATATGGGATGGTTATGGAGGTACCTGACAAATACAGTTTCCAAGACTCTTAACTTTTTTTTTGCAATTCTGTTTATAAATAAATGCAAACATCTAGTTTACTCTCCTAGCTGCGAATCTTAACAGATGTGTAGTCTTAACACATGGGAAGAACACTAGGTTTGGGAAGGTTATATAGTAGTAAGTGGAAATGAAGTGTAGTAGGTGAACATATAAGAACACATGTAGATTTATGTACCCTAGTTTCCTGTTTTCCTTCTATATATAATACTTAATTGGGAAAGATGCTATAATTGTATAGGAGGTGTGACTTTAGATGCTGAGGAACTCTTAAATCTGTTTTCCTATAGTCCCTCCTTCACGTCGATTTTCTGTAGTGATGATTGCCTTTGCCGTGCCTCCACTTGGTTGTCTCTGTCTCATTGTGCTGTAAGTTCTGACTATTCTTATTTCCTATCTTATTTCATTCTTGTAAAATTTGGTAGGCCAGATTTATGGATCGGTAATCAGGTTAAATTAATCAGGTATTGCACATCAGTCATGCAAGAATAGAAAGGCTCCCAAAAAGAGAAGCTACCTTCTGGTAGGTGATTCAATTATAAGGGATGTAAATTTAGGAAAGGACACAGAGGCTTTGAAAGAGGTCAGGTGTCTTCCAGGTGCTACTGCCAGTAGGGACAAGAAGCGTATTTCTAAAATAATCAAGAATGGCAGCAAGGACTGTGATGTGGAGGCTATTGTACATCTTGGCACTAATGATCTGTCCCAAAAAGATGTACTCTCTGTGCAGAATGATTTCCAGAGCTTGGGGAAGGAACTTAGCAGAATAGGCTGTAGGCTTACTTTCTCAGAGGTTTTACCAGTGTATAAGGAGCAAAACGGAAAAGGCCAGCGCATAGCACAATTCAATATGTGGCTAAAGGAGTGGTGTAAAGGGGAAGGCTTTGGATATATTAGTCACGATGTCAGTAGCTGGTCCAATCAAAAGATGTACAAAAGAGATGGTTTGCATCCATCAAAAAAAGGGACTGAGTTACTCGGCTATAAATTCACAGATTTTCTGGAGGGAAATTTAAACTAAACAGCGGGGACAGGGAGTTAATTGATACGGAACAACCCTGTCCCCGGCAATTTAAAAACTATAGGGCTATCAGTGCATGTAGCATAGATGTGTGTGTGGACAAGAATACCAACCTTGCTATCAATCAAAATGAAGCCTCTAATAGCGAGTGCCACATAAAGTGCACTAACCAAATAGGTGGTAAGACAATAGGGGAACTCAGGCACCACACAGGTTATGTAGAAAGGAAACACAGGGCCACCCACAAAGGACTCAAATGTTTATACACCAATGCACAGAGTATGAACAGCAAACAGGGTGAACTAGAAATTCAGGTTAATGAGGGCAGATACGATATTGTTGCCATTACGGAAACATGGTGGGATGAAACTCACACATGGAACACACAGCTAGAGGGATTTAAATTATTTAAAAGAAACAGACCAAATAAAAGAGGAGGTGGAGTTGCTCTCTATATAAGAAATAACTACATCTCCACAGAAATAGAGTACAACAATGATAAAAACTGTCTTGAATGCATTTGGGTCAATATAAAAGGGGGGGGGAAATGACATTGCCATAGGTGTATACTACAGACCACCCAACCAAACAGAGGAAATAGATGAACTTTTTGCTAGTCAGCTAACTAAGGTATGTAGGAAGCACACCACAATAGTAATGGGGGACTTTAACTACCCTGACATCAACTGGGAGACAAACTCCGCACCAAGTGGAAGATCAAACAGGTTCCTGGCAAACCTAGCAGACAACTTTGTCTCCCAAAAAGTAGAGAAGGGAACTAGGGGATTAGCCATTTTGGATCTAATTCTCACTAACAGAGATGAAATGATAGACGGTGTTGAAGCCATAGGAACCCTGGGAGGAAGTGATCATGCAATATTAGAATTCAACATTATAGAAGCACAACCAATAGAACACAGTCAAACTAGAGTCTTGGACTTCAAGAGAGCTAATTTCAATAAACTTAGAGAGGGCTTGGGAAGGATTCCATGGATGAGAATCCTCAAGGGGAAAAAACTCAAGAAGCTTGGGGAAATTTTGAAAAATGAGATAATAAAAGCACAGTCTAGCACAATACCAACAAAGAGGAAAAATAACAGCTCTCAAAAGAAACCAGCATGGCTGCATAAAGAACTCTCTGACAAATTGAAAGATAAAAAGGACAAGTACAGAAAGTGGAAAGAGGGGAACATAACTAAGTCAGAATATCAGCAAATAGCCCGAGCCTGCAAAGATGAAGTGAAGAAAGCCAAGGCTCAAAATGAACTAAGGCTTGCGACCAAAGTCAAAAATAACAAAAAAAGCTTCTTTCAACATGTAAAAAACAAGAAAAAAGTGAAGGAAACGATTGGTCCATTAGTGGGTGGAAGTGGCAAGAAGGTGACAAGCAACAGGGAGAAAGCAGAACTATTTAACTCATTTTTTGCATCTGTCTTTACACAAAGGGAAAAAACAGACCAACCTATCAAAAATAGTGCCATAAAAAACAAAACAGAAACACAAGTTAAGATAGGCAAGAAAATGGTTAGGGAGCACCTGTCCAGCCTAGATGAGTTCAAATCGCCAGGACCAGATGGATTACACCCCAGAGTTCTCAAGGAACTGGCAGATGTGATATCGGAGCCACTGAACTATATTTTTCAAAGATCCTGGAACACAGGGGAACTACCAGAGGACTGGAAAAGAGCTGATGTAGTTCCCATCCTCAAAAAAGGAAAAAAAATGGATCCAGGAAATTACAGACCTATCAGCCTGACCTCAATACCTGGGAAGATCCTGGAAAAGATAATCAAACAACGAATCAACGAACACCTAGAGGCAAACAAAGTCATTACTAAAAGCCAACATGGGTTTGTCAAAAATAGATCATGCCAGACAAATCTTATTGCATTCTTTGACCAAGTGACAAAATTAGTGGATCAGAGGAATGCTGTGGACATAATTTACTTGGACTTCAGTAAGGCATTTGATAAAGTAGATCACAACCTACTACTTGACAAGATAGAAAAATGTGGGGTAGACAGAACCACCACCAGATGGATCCGTAGCTGGCTGACCGGCCGTACTCAGCGAGTGGTCCTCAATGGAACTGCATCTATATGGAGGGAAGTGTGTAGTGGGGTGCCCCAGGGCTCTGTTCTGGGCCCAGTACTCTTCAACATCTTCATCAACGATTTGGATGAAGGGATAGATGGGGAACTCATCAAATTTGCAGATGACACCAAGCTGGCAGGAATAGCCAACACTCCAGAAGACAGGCTTCAGATACAGAAGGATCTGGACAGACTTGAACACTGGGCACTAACTAACAAAATGAAATTCAATGGTGAAAAAAGCAAGGTTCTACATTTAGGCAAGAAAAACCAAATGCACAAGTACAGCATAGGTGGCACCATGCTCAATAGTAGTAACTGTGAGAGGGACCTCGGAGTCCTAGTAGACAATCAGTTAAATATGAGCCAGCAGTGTGCGGCAGCTGCCAAAAAGGCCAACACAGTACTAGGCTGCATTAACAGAGGGATAGAATCAAGATCACGCGAAGTATTAATACCACTCTTCAATGCCTTGGTAAGGCCACACTTGGAATACTGCATCCAGTTTTGGTCACCACGATGTAAAAAAGATGTTGAGACTCTAGAAAGAGTACAGAGAAGAGCAACAAAGATGATTAGGGGACTGGAGGCTAAAACATATAAGGAACGGTTGCGAGAATTGGGTATGTCTAGTTTAACGAAGAGAAGGACAAGGGGGGACATGATAGCAGTATTCCAATATCTCAGGGGCTGCCATAAAGAAGAGGGAATTAAGCTATTTTCCAAAGCACCTGAAGGCAGGACAAGAAGCAACGGGTGGAAACTAATCAAGGAGAGAAGCAACCTAGAACTAAGGAGAAACTTCCTGACAGTGAGAACAATTAATCAGTGGAACAGCTTGCCTCCAGAAGCAGTAAATGCTCCAACACTGGAAGTTTTTAAGAAGAGACTGGACAGCCATTTGTCCGAAATGGTGTAGGGTTTCCTGCCCGAGCAGGGGGTTGGACTAGATGACCTCCAAGGTCCCTTCCAACTTTACTATTATTATTATTATTATTATTATAATCAGTCTAAAGAAGGGTTATGATCTATTTATAATGACCTAATCAGGTAATTTAGGTATAATTACCTAAAACTTTATTTTAAGTTAGCAATTACATATTTTTTTTAGTATATCATATTTCTTACTATGCTTTGTAAAAGATTACATACAGTGGGTCCTTAGAGAATTGAAAAACACAACTCATAGGAAAGAAGATGTTGTTCCTTTCTAGGAAGTTGATTCCATGTTATGAAGATAAGTCTCAGCGTTTTGGCAAAACAATGGTGTGGGTGTCTTTTAGGGTTCATATGTTTCTAGTTAAGTGCTTCTCTGTCCATCTCTTGCAGCTGTTGCTATTGCTTCCGTCGTCGCTGGCAGAAACACCATTCTTCTACTAACGTTGATGGACAGACCAAAGTACAAGAAGAAACTCCAGCTTCTGATAATGACACTGCCCTTGTAGCCACTGAAGAACAACATTCTCTCCCCTTGCCTTTTTCTACTTCTGAACATCCCAACAATGAAGGGGGCATGTCTCCACCTCATTCCAAGCTAGAACCACAGGCTCTTCCTGGGTTGGCAAATCCTGGTGCCAGAAGTCTTTTGTCGTCATAGCTTTGACTTGCTTTGAATGATGATTCCCAATAAATTATTATCCAGGAAGCAGCCTTGGTCCTATTGTTTCTACTGATAGGTTGGTCCCCACTAACTACCCTATTCAGACTTTTCATTTTCTGTGGTTCTCTTCTGCTGTATTTTTTGCAAATTTATTTCCATATCAAGAAGGTTAAAGAGGATGTATTCCTTATTAACCATAGCCCATTGTACCATAGGGTACCTAGAATGGCAGGGTTATATCCACATAATATGGTTGCAATCTTCTGTTCAACCAGAGGTGGAATCAGTATCACCGCAGTTAGCTAGACCAGCGGTTCTCAACCTGTGGGTCACGACCCCATTTGGGGTCGAACGACCATTTCACGGGGGTCGCCAAACAATGCAGTCCACCATTTTTCCCCCTTTTCCTTAGCTGTGCTACTCCCTTTTATTCTATTGGCGTTTGAAAGCCAATAGAATAGACTCTCTTGAATACAGTCTAATTCTATTGGCTTTCAAAAGCCAATAGAAATTGTCCAGGCTGTCTCTGCCCGGCTGAGCCCACCAAAAGCCCCATTCTGCAAACGGTGCTGCAAGTTGTCTGCAGCGAAGGCGAGCTGTCTGGAAGCTTCCATCCCTCCCTGCTGAGCAACTACTAAAAATGTAAGTAAAAGAGGGCCAGGGGTGGGAGGTGGGAGGCCGGTGGGCGCAGGGAGGGTTGCCCGGCGAGTGCCTTACCTCCCTTGAGCTGGGCCAGCTGGTGGCCCAGCCGGTGGTCGCCCTGCGCCATCGCTGCCCCTTGCCAGCTACGCCTCGGCCGGCGCAGGGGGCGGCACCATGCATGCGTGGCGCTCCCAGGCAGGGAAAGTCCTCGACTTATGACCAGTTGGGTAGTCCTCGACTTACGACCGGTTGGGGTCGCGGCATTAAAAAGGTTGAGAACCACTGAGCTAGACAAACAAAAATTAAACATAGCAACAATCACTGCTGCAGAATCACTGGCAATGTCCAACCATAATATTTCTTATCATTGATACCCTAAAGTACCAGGCAATGCAGAGCAATCTCTAAAGGGCACTTTGGGATCAAACACCAGACAGATCAGAATCATACATTCTTTTGCACAAGTTGTAATTCTATGTGGATACAAAACGTTCATAAGAAATCTAGCAAAATTCGAGTCCTGTCCTAGGGATGGGGGACAAGAAGATTGGGTCTTAGGCTCAAAGGGGCTTCAAATTTAGACACATGCTGGTTGTTGTTTTATGAAAATAAAAAAATCCTAGGTACTGTATATCTAATTTGGACTGTTGTAATCTTTTGTATGTTTAATTTTACAAATTATGGTTACAACTCTAAATTTTTGAGATGCTGCTGGCAACATATCTCTTGTTATTTTCTGTAAGAAGTACTATTATTTTGCAAGAGAGAATCCATGGAGCCATATTCATAAGGAAGAGTAGAAATATACTAATATGCAATTATCTCAAAAGGAAAGGACAATGAAACAGGAAAAAGAAAATGAGAAATCAGTCCTGGACTTATTTAAAATACAAAAAACTGGTGTAATCTCTAAAACAGGTTCAGTATAATGGATGGATACCTACCTCCCCTCACCCCAAAGTCATTTCACTGAAATTTAGCAGCAATTATTCCTGAATGTTGGCCTGATTATAACTGTTTTTCAGGACTTAAGGTGCTTTTAACGGTAAGAATGGGAGCAGTTTGCCTTTGGGAGGGCTCCTCTCCCCTCTGTTATTCTTAACCCCCCCACCCCAAAGGCTCAAATACCCAGCTACATTTCCTCCGTTATAATAACCCTGAATCTTCTGTGGTTCTTCAGAAGATCAGGAGGATGAATTGTGGCCCTGGCTTAAAAGAACAAAGACTTTATAGTTCCTTTCAAAAATGCAGAAAAAAACCCAAAAGTTTAGACACTACTACCATTTATACCTTGTCTTAAAATATCTCAAAGACTATGTGTGGCCATTGGCCACCAAAAGGTTGCCCATTCCTGATTAAGGATACTTTATACACTCAAGGAAACAGAAACATAATCTGTTAATGTTTTCAGGAATAGAAACTGGGCACACCTAGTTTATGTGCCTTGCATCTGACACGCTCTGTTAATTTCCTCATTTCCTATGCAGCAGTGATAAATAGAGCACCCATCTGCCAGTTCTTGATAAAGAGCTTAAGAATGTATTGCTAATGAGAAAGGAAATAAATGGGCCAGAACTGAGGCTGCATTTCCAGAAAATAATGCCCAGTATTTATCTTGTTAGCAAGGGAGGCAGGTTAGAATAGATGAGGACACTGCTGGCAGAAATTAAGATAACAGGATTTTTAAGTCCTGTTTTACTCTGACAAGAATCTGATCCAAATATTCATCTAAATCACATGTTTGCTGGGGAATTCTGTGAGTGGAAGTCCATATTTCTTGTGGTTGAGAAACATGGATCTCAGTTCTAAGTTTTTATATGATAATGATCCAACCATCCATCAGCAATATAGAAGCTGAGAGTGTGTAATCTGGTGGCACCTTTCTATAACTGCTCAAGACCAAAGAATATATAGTACATTCTAGTATGCCCATTTGTTCGTTGCTATTCTTATGACTACATTTCTTTTACAGTAACTTACCCTTGCTCTGCCTACAAACACTAGTTGATTCTGTTGATTATCTGGTGATTTCAGTGGATCCAGAAGCTGATAGGAGCACATAAGCAAACAAAACAACTGTACTACTTTTTACCTGGAACCCTATATGGAATCTCAAATGAGTATAGAAAACAGTCTCTGTAGAAGCATTTCTAGGCATTTAGCTGAGATATGGCTTTTGACAGAAAACATCTATCTGATAGATAAATGTCTGAATTACATGATTCATGACAAGTGATTTATTCCAACATAATCAGATAAGAGTTCTTCAAGGATTCTGATATTGTACTTAAAACATGAGGCAATGCAAAGTTTTGGAATTCATTGCTGCTGGAGAAATATATTCATAAAGAGATGCATTTTTTCCTATCTTGAATATAGTCAGGAACAATTCAAACGGAAACTTTCTTAAGTACTTGTTGAGTGAAATACTGTCTAGAACAGGGCTTTTCAACCAGTGGCATGGGTATCACCTGTGGTACATTGACACCTGGCAGGTGGTACACGACCATCCTATAAAAGTGGTAGCAGGGGAGGGGAATGAGCTGAACTGGTGGCAGCACTGCACAAGCCTGAGCAAGAGATGGCTGGAGCTGCAGGGCTGTCAGGGCTCAGCGGAAGCGCCAGGATCAGTGCCACTTTCCAGCTGATCGGCGCTTCTTCGGGGCTGTCAGGGTTCAGCGGAAGCGCCAGGATCACTGCCGCTTTCCAGCTGATCGGCTCTTCGGGGCTGTCAGGGCTCAGTGGAAGCCCCAGGATCAGCGCCAGGCTCTAGCTGGAGTTCAGCGCTGATCCTGGTGCTTCTGCTGAGCCCTGAAGAAGCACCAATCAGCTGGAAAGCAGCACTGATCCTGATGCTTCTGCTGAGCCCAGAAGAAACACTGATCATCTGGAATGTTGCACCATCTCCAGGGTCTTGTGATTTACATTCAAATGCTTGTCATCTGATTCATATTTATGATGGTCACAATGTCCTACGGTCATGTGAAGTGACCAAAACCTGCTGCAACCACCCAGCAGACGGGGGGAATAAAAACCAAACACCCCCCACCCCACCCCCGCTGCCAATCCTCAACAGAAATGCTCACAACAATGAAAAGCTCGGACAGGAGGAAGAGCGCCGCTGGGCACTGTGGCTTGGGGGGCATTTTTTTCAGTGCCATTGTAACTTCGAACAGTCACTAAGCAAACTATTGTAAGTCGAGGACTACCTGTACTTTATCACTTTTTTCCTTTTTTTTTGGGTCATCAACTTTTTGACACCTTGCTAGGTGACTGGTGGTACTTGGATGTTGCCATATCCTAAAAGTGGTACAGTGGGTGAAAAGGTTGAAAAGCCCTGGTCTAGAAAGAACATGTGCTGCATGCTACATAACTCTTGGGTGGTGTGTTTTCGCTGTCACAGAATAATTTATCCTTTTGTAATATTTATATTAACTAACATGGAGTTTAATCATTCATGAAAGGAAAAGGTCCTTCCGCTTATAATTAAAGCATATGGATCCAGCAAGGATCAGCACTGAAAGAAAGAGACAGGGTACAGATGTGATCTCTGCTGATTCCCACTGTTGCCTCTCACTGTTCAAAGGGTTCCCTTACTTGCCACAACAACAATTTATGGTATAAGGTATAAGGTCTACAAGGAAGGAAGCAACATTTTCCTCTTACTTCCACTATGAGAAGATGACTGCTGCTGAGTTTTCAAATTGCTTGAGTTTTCCATTTCTGGTCCTTGGCCCATCTGATCAGGAATCTAGCAAGGAATCAGGAATCTGGCAAGCTCATGGATTTCTAAGTGGACCCAAACGATCCACATTCAACTTGGATCGTTATCCATATGTGGATCTGGTCAGTGATTTAGAGATTTCAAAATTGCTTCTCTGCCCCAGGTCTGAAATATAAACATAAACTCTCTGTTCCATGAGACCTTGTTATGCAACTAGATGAACTTTGAAGTAGCTTCTGTTCTAAATACTGATTATCCATGCTGGGCTTTTTGAGATTTTGAAAACCTTGCATGACTTTGGAAAGATGATCAGTATGGCCTACAACCATAATCCCAGGCTCAATTACAATCATAAGTCAAAGACTACCTGTATTGAAAAAGAATAAAACAACAACTTCTAAAACATCTTCCAATCCCTGAAAAGAAAAATTTTAATTCAGTTCATGTATATGATGTACTTTATGTTTAGCATATTATAGTTCACTCTGTTGTGCCATCAGTATACACACATACCCAAATAAAATCCCTTATTTCTTCTTTCTCCACCTAAGCCATTCAATAAGCAAAGTTTTCTGAGCGGGTTAGGAAACTGAATGAAGAGTTGCTAAAAATATTCTTTTAAAAAGCAGCAGCAATGAAAATGGTAGAATTAATAAGCAATAAGGATGGAATGAAAATGGGTTGAAATCTCTTTTCATCGTTCTAAATGAGTCTGCTTTTCTGGTGGCTCAAAAGGGATCGTGGGGAAGGCACAGGGAAAATCAGTATTATTGAAGAATTCTCTTTTCTTTACTTAGGTTTCAGGCACTAAGAAGAAGCTAGTGAGAAATAAATGTTAGCAGGACTGATTGTTCACATTGTTTGCCAAGGGAGGACAGTGCTGAAAAGATTAATTGGTCCAAGCAATGTAAATAATGCCTTCCTTCCGTTTGTGTGACATTGTGATCTAACAGGACAAACTTCTGCCTGTAGGGGTGCGGGAAATTCTCACCAACCCGATCATTGCTAACTGCATTTCAGAAGCTTGTGGCATCATCTGTATTTATGTGGGACAGGAAGCTATCCTGGGCTGAAAGTAGATCAACATTGCAGGCAGGGAATTAGCTACCTTTTGTATCTGAGTTGCATGGCAGAAGATTGCTATAAATGTCCAGGATGGGTGGACATGACATACTTTGTTCCAGATGTTAGTGGGGTAGCTACATTGTGTCTTTGCCTTTACTGTCTTGGGCTGGGTGAACACAGGATTTGGCAGCTGCTGAACTGGTGCAAGGGTAATAGGTCTCCTCTCTCCCATCAGCACAACTGCCCACAAAATTGCTCAGCTGCAGACTCATTATTTGCAATGAGAACCATAAGCATCTGCAGAATCCCTCCTACTGAAGTCAAGAAAGATTAAAATGCTAGCAGCAAATGGAATCATTTACAATAACTCAAAAGAAGGCAGTTTAACCAATGAAGCAAGGGAAAAAGAGCCCCATTGTTCTAAACACATTGCCTCATTTTTATTTTTTTGCTGCAATGTGATGAGAAATAGTCCACAATATGAAATCTAACAGCAAGGAAAGCAATTTAAATGCATGTGACAATAATGTTAGTTTTCACAAGGCCTGAGGTGACACAAGAATAGATTTTTGTCTCACTAAAGGTGCAGAACTGGGGTTAAGGAAAGCTCAAAAAGAAAGGTGCTGGGTGGTCAATTTTAACATCAAATATCAGGATGTATCCAGGCAATTTTTTTTATTAACATGAGCTGTAATTAGGATTTCCTGATCAACAGCTATTCAGCTCACACAGTGGAGTGATAATTGGCTACTTGCAGTCAAACTATACATTATATAGGAGATTTATTATTGGTTATCCCAGTTTTTATATCACTTAAAAGCAAGTGCAAAATGGGCTGGAAATGGATGCTCCTATATTGCAAGTAGAAATAGGTTTAAAACAGCCTGTTTACATAAAACTGGCCTAGCTTAATGTCTATATTTCAAAGGCAAATAGCTAGTGGGATTGATATATTCTTTGGTCAACCTACCAGGAAGGGATATTTACTGGTTTGAACACTTTTATTAAAATAACAAAAGCAGCACAAAGTCATTGTGATGCAAGTCCTGCACCTTTTGTGTATGCTTGTAAGATCACAATGTATGTATCAAAGAGCTTGCATTATGATGTTGTCTTTGTTGTTTACCTTGGTCCCCCTACTGCCTCTGCCAGCTAGCCCTTTCTTTCATACTTTAGAACTGATGAGATTCAGCCAAAGATTTCCATGTAAAATGTAATAAAGTCTTTATGATAAGTCAAACATTTTAGTATTGGGCCTTTATAGCCTGCCAAGCTTCATGAAAATCTGCCAACTCTTTCTGATAAAACTCCTACAGCATTCTTGGCTGCCACACAATGGAAACTGGTCAAATGATATTTTTGAAAGGTGTTTGTCTATGACCATTCCTAAGAATCAACAGCTTACCTCTACTTCCCTCAGCTTCTCCACTTTCTTCAATGGGAAGCAAGCATCAGTCCTAAAGAGAACCAATTTGAGGTAGTGGTTAAGACACCAGGCTTTAAATTGGGAGACTTGGAGTTCTGGTCCCACTTTAGGTATGAAGCCAGCTGGATGATGTTGGGCTAGTCACTTTCTCTTTGCCTAGGAAAAAGACAATGTTGCCAAGTAAAGTGGAGGGGGTTGGCAGGAGTCAACAACACTGATTCAAAGATATGCATGTGTGCGTGCGCGCACGCACAACCTGAAAGACTTACAAACTGCCTGATGCTTAGGATGCAGTGATCCTGTATCTTTGGGATCACAGAGGTGACCCTTCTTTCAGTGTCAAAGTGCTGTGGATAGCAGGCAGAATTACATGATTAACAATTGTAAATATCCAGAAATAATCTGGGAAGGCTGAGAGAGAGAATGAGTGCATCCTCTGTCCTTGGGGAGTTCCATATTGCTCTCCACCAATGTTCTGGTAAGCCACAATTTTGCACCCCACTTCAGCTAGTGGATGCCTCCCATTGGATCTGTATTCATTTGCAAAAAACTCAATCCTGTCTGATGAGGGATGTCCACTTGACAATTTCTATGTCTACAATTTAAACTGGAAGTCATCTATAATTCTTATATGGAAAAGGATGGGGTGACAAAATGGCTGGCATACATAAGCATTCACTGAAAATTGCTGAAGTTATCTTACTAACTGCTTGTTCAGCAGCATGCCAGATATAAACTGCAGATCTAGAGGTAGGATGAATATGACAGAGGAAGAAGAGGGGCAGAAGAACCACATGATGTTGCTGGAGTCACATACCAGTAGGTTTCATCTGTGCTTAGGCCAGATGGACCTGAAGGTTCTGCCATATTAAACATTTCCCACAACTTTCCATCAGGATGGGGTATAGTGGAAACCAGCCTGTTGCTTTGGTTTTATGAAACTCTCTCTTGTTCACTGCAAATGGAAGTTGGTACATTTGTCTCAGGTCATCCCACTACCACCTATAGATGTTAGCATCTCCTTCCCTTCCTATCTTCTTAGAGGATAGTATTCTTTCTGAAAATGGCTGAAGATCCCCTGGTTCCAGAAATTACAGTAGGTGAAGTGAAGTTGTGAAGCAGGTACTTGGCTACTGAAAGTCAAGGACCACTGCCGATCTGACGCCAGCGGCAGAGAAGAATATTCTATCAGCCATTACAGCCTGTATTCTTTTCTTTACATATCTGCAAGCAAGCTGAAGTAGTTTCTGCATTTTTGGAGGGAGAGAGAGAGAGGACACATCCTTGGCAGCGAATCAGTACTATGTTCAGAACTTGCAGCACCTGGCCAAGGAGTCCAGACAACTTTGTAGATCTCCTAATAGCATGTCCCTGAGCTGCTTTGTGCTCTGGGAGAATCCCAATACTATGGATGTGAGCATATGGTGATCTCTAAAATTACATGCATAACATTTCTCAGTTAATCTATCAGCATCTATGAGCTTAGAATAGAAATTACCCACAAGGACTCACTTGTTATGTAAGGATTTACATTCATCAGACAAAGAACAAACAGCACAGGGTAATGAACCTCCCTGGTCCTATATTTTATCTCTGGCTTTTTGTCTGGTCAGATGGGCACTTGTCCCCCACAAAAAATCAAACAAACAAACAAACAAAAACCACTGGGTTTCACCAGTCACAATTTTCATTTTTGAAAAAAGCTGGTTACGAAGTCAGGGACACCTCTGGAAAGGACAGAGATACTGGGAGATAGCACTTAATTTTCCAGTATATTCATTTTCCTTTTCTTCCTGTCTGCCTAAAATAATTAAATCAGGTACATAAGGATTTTTAGCCTGTGCCAAAGCAGGTGACTGCAAATACATTAGTTCAAAAAGATACGTTGCTTACTTTTGAAGTAAGTCATCAATCTTGGGTTTGTCTATATTGCTGTCAAATGTTGGTTCACAGGGTATCTTTTACTTAAAAACAGCCTTGTCAGTCCTCCACTATGTGAAGTGAGAGTTAGGACTATCATTTTGTCTAGATGCAACTCTTCATTATTTAAACTGGTTATCTACAATATTGGCATCTCTGCATTTGCCTAAAAATTTCCCTCTCAGAAAAAAAGTAATGCCATAATGGCATCTTAATTATGTGCAGTTGGATTGTGCCACATCTATACTCACTTCCTGCCTCTGAGATTGCTCACTAGCTTCCTGTATGATTTTGTAATGCCCAATTGCCCTCTTATAAAAATGATAGGAAAATCCTACCTCTTCTCACAGAATGCACATGGGGAGTTTGAAACTGGAAATAAAGAGCAAGCAAGACTTGGATTCTGCGACCTACAAACATGCTTCTCATAGCAGAGCACTGTCAAGTTTTATTATTGGCCTCAACCTAGGGAATCCAGTAAACCAAAGTGCAGGCATTGGCCTGTTAGACACGGGATAAATAAAAATATCAGAACCTAGTATAAATCTAGTTACTTTTCCCAGATACTTTTAATAACATCCATCCCTTTTGTGAGAATTTGGATTTGTTTTTCACCCAGTGTGGTACCAAGCAATTTGACCTACATTTCAAAGCACACTCTGTAGTGCCTAATATGATTGCTCTATTTTTCTTCTTACAAAGGGTTAGGAACATATTTTTAGCACTCCTGCTGCCTAGATAGCCTGAAGAAAATGTTGGAAAACTGAAAACTAGCTGTCTCCATTTGCAGTATTTCTGTTGGAGAAGACATTAGTAAAATTTCAGAGTAAAGCTAAGCATTCCTAGGAAATGGTTAGTGGAGAGCCCAGTTGTAACTTCTTTTGACTGATGGGCCTAATCCAGGGGTGTCAAACTGCCAGCTCACGGTCTGGATGCATCATGCCAAAACAATGCCCACCCCAGCTCCAACAATGGAGAAAAAGTCACGATACGTTGCGACATGTTACGTGACGTTGTGAGTTTGACACCCCTGGCCTAATCATACAGCCCAAATGATCCTAGTAGCACCTTGAAAATTCAAATCTGGAAACACATCAAGCAAGCCAGAGATACATACTTCATGGATGTTTAAGTTTGCTCTTGTTGGTTTCAAGTTTCCTTCCTTCCTCATTTCAAAACTGTTCTTCCAAACTTCAACTTATCTGTGTGGAAAGTATTTTGGTGAAAATTAGCATTGGTCAGCACTGTATATTGGAGTGGTAATATATATTTGAACAGGTTGGAACATGGGCATCCAGCTCTCACTCTCACTACTTTAGATGACAGTCATCTTTGGATCACCTCCTAGAAATTGGGAGTCTATTTATTTGGCCCTGCTACCCATATCCATTGTATCCACTTGAAGAAAGAGGTGATCTGCCTTCATGCCCCTCCATGGTTCCTTAAAATATTACTGACTTGGATCTGGTCCAGTGTATGTATGAATCTCTCTTGCAGCTTCCATGAAATATGACTGCATATGGAAGGACATAAAAGGGGGTGTTTGTCACAAACATCTTTATTGTCTCTGACCCCAGAATGAGATCCAATATGCCATAGCTTCATTCTGTTCTCTTGCCAGTAAGTTTCCATCCTTGATATTGGAACCCATGGTGAGATTATTGGACTGGAGAAATATTATCTGGGAAGAAGCAGCAATGCCATCAGGATAGATAATGAAGGATGCTGTAGGTTTGTTTTGATTCCCAGAGCAGACTGCCGAGGAGCTGAGAGGAATTTACTTATTTCATCTTTTTATTTTTGAGGGTGTCCCAATCATCAATGGCTCTGGATAGCTTATAATTAAAAAGAAAAGAAAAGAAATACAGTATGGATAGTCCTTAATTTACAATCACAATTGAGCCCAAAATTTATGTTGCTAAGTGAAGCATTCGTTAATTGAGTTTTGCCCCATTTTACGACCTTTCTTGCCACAATTGTTAAGTGAATCACTATAGTTGTTCAGTTAGTAACATTGGTGTTAAGTGAATCTGGCTTCCCCATTGACTTTGCTTATTAGAAGATCACAAAAGCTGATCACATGACCTAGGACACTGCAATCATCATAAATATGAGCCAGTTGCCAAGTATCTTAATTTTGATCATGTGACCAAGAGGATGCTGCAATAGTCATAAGTGTGAAAAATGGTCATGTCACTTTTTTCAGTGCCATTATAACTTTGAACAGTCACTAAATGAACTGTTGTAAGTAGAGCACTACCTGTATATCAAAATATATCTAACATATATCACAGCCAAATGGAAGGCTAACTCAATAACACACATATTGAAAAGCAAAACAAAACCTTAGGGCCTCTATACCCAACCTATCCCAAGATATGGGAGAAAAACCAGGTTCTAAATGCTTCTTGGTTAAGGTGGGAGCAATATATATCTCTGGAATGATGTCATTCCAGAAGACAGATACCACTACCAAAATAGGCACACTTCCTGGACCTGGCAAGATGACATTGTTTAATCAACAAGACACAAAGCATACCCATCAATGAAAATAGCCCAGGTGAACAGCTGAAAGTCTGGAGGGAGCTATTGTTATATTGTTATATTGTTATTGTTATTGTTATTCCACTACATTGCTAAACACCCACTTTCTGTTGTTCACACAAGACTAATGCTCTTCCAAAATGGTGATGAGCACATTATTAGAAATAACCTGGCCAGGAAGCAGGTGATATTGTCCTTCATATTACACTGTGCCACCCCACCATGCACCATTTATTCATTTAACAAATATAAGGCTGCCCATTACTATAAGAAATTCTGAGTAGTGAACAACGCAATTGTTTTAAAATATAAACATATTAAAAGCCAGTACAATTGAAACACAGAATTCTAAAAGATTACTTGCACTTGGTCTGAAGTAAGTTTTGACAGATGCCTAAAAACACCATCTAACCTCCCCATTCCACATTAAGGAGAATTACTGATAGCTCTACTTCTGCTGGCTGGTGTTGTTTGGTGGGAGATAAGAACATCCCCCTCCCCAGGAGAATTTAGGAATACCTTACCTTAATGTGCCCTTTACCCAGTAAATAAATGTAGGGGTTCTGTAACTGGAACTAGAAAAAGAAACAAAGTGTGTAGCCTTGTCTAACTATTGCTATCTTGCTTCTGTAATCAGCATTTTTGTCAGGGACAAATTTCATGCAAGCATGGGAAACATGTATACAGATGGGATATACTGAAGGAGGGAATAAGGGATTGTACAGGAATGATTGATGTCTTCCTTATATTGTAATAACTCTGTTGTCTGACATTGATTGGCTAACAAAGTTTATAAAGCAATGCTATTAACTTTCTAAGGTCTGGCACCTCTGATCGTAACTGTCTGCCAGCGTTCAGATTGTGTCCCACCCTGGATTTAATTTGATCAAATAAAAAGTACTGTTTCTTTAAGAAGTCTCTGCTTGAGTTTTCATGATTAGTTTTTATGATTTCTCAGGTTTTGCCAGGGGCCAGTGACCTTACATAAGGATACCTCAATCGGATGGATAAAAGGTGTCTGTGGCAGAATAAACATCAACAGTGAGGATAGAAAATGTTATGCCTATTTGGTTTTCTCTTGGCTCCCAGGTTGGGAGATGTCACTTTAACTTTGCATTGAGGGAGGGTGGAAAATGAATAAAAAATGTGTCATGTGGAAGTCCTTGAAGTCTAATTTGTTCTCCAAGCATTAATAGGCTAATTTTGTCAAGCAAACAGGGCTTGATAAAAGTCAGTAATATAGAAGTTCAATTGTCCGATCATGTGGTCTTCATTGTGTGAATCTTTGGCATTGCCAAACTTAGGAAAGAAAGAAATAGTACAGGTAATCCATGCTTAACAAACCACAATTGGGACTGGCAGTGAACATCATATGGCTGTGACAGACTTACAACCTGCTATGGTCATTAAAAAAATCACCTGCAATTGTTAAGCAAGCCTTCATGTGACCATGACATGTGATTGTGCTCCCAGCTTCTCCATTAACTCAGCTGAGAAGCCATTTGTGAAACACACAAATGGTGATCACATGACAGTGGGACTCTATGACTATCATAAATACCTGCTAGTTGGAAAGTGCCCCAATTTCAATCATGTAACCATGGGGAGGAAGCAACAATTGTAAATGTGAGGGCTGGTCATAAAATTACTTTTTCAAATCCATCATAACTTTGAACAGTCACTAAATGCCACTTTTAGCAATCTTAGACTATTTTATGGCAGATGCTACAATCCTTAAATGCACTGCTTGGGCTTTGTCATACTGTATCTGAAGTACTGACAAACACTGAATGAAAACAAGTAATTTAAAAATGCTGTCATAAGGCTGGTATGTCATTTTCAGAGCATCAGCTTTTATCTCTGCGAACTGCTGTCAAGTTGACATTTCTCAAAAAATGACATGACCCCACTGCATGCACTACAAAGAATCTTAGGGAACAAAGTTCAATAGAGAGATGCTTAAAAGACACACTTTTATAGAAAGCGGGACAAGTACAATCATTCCCTTTAGATTCTTATCACAGTGTCAAAATAGATCCCTGCTGCATTGAGCAAATGGTGTTCATTTAGAATTGTGCTCGTTTTATTCATCTGTTCATAAGAACCCTTTCAGGTTGCTTAGAATACTTCAAGTATTTTTGCTATTGTCACTTGATCACTAATTTGATCATTTAAGAAGAACAAAACAGGATGAAATAGTTCACTTTTCCTGCATGCATGCATACATTACATCCTTGTGAATGTGACTGAAGCATCTACTACTTTCACCTAGCATTTCAGTTCAGTTATGACTATACCATGTCATATGTGAAACTTTTGTGGGTTAAAATGCCATCAAAATAATGACCCAAGTTCTGTGCCAGTTCCTTCACTCATAATGAGACGGGTTAAGCTGCAGTTTCTCCTTTATCTGCTTAAAGTCAGCTCAATAAAGCTTATTTCTGGGAAGACAAGTGTACAATTGTGGTGTCACTGTTCACTTAATATCCTTCTCAAAACAATCTCCTTATGAAGGGAATTAACACAAGTGTGTGGTTTTGTGGGATGAATCTTTCTAAGCTTATTTACTTGATAATGAATTGAAGGCAATATTCACAGAGGCTATTATTGATGCTCAGACAACTCTTAGGGCCTTCTTCCCTTGCACCTAACAAATGCAACAGTAGCATTCTTGACAACAGAATTTAGTTTTTCTACAGCATCTACAAAATACAGCCTTTATCTTGTCCCCAGCCCATGAGTGAGACAGGCTTACATCATTCTTAGATTATCTTATAACATTTTGCTCTTCATTCTGATATAATTCAAGAGCAACCTTAAGTTTATAAAAACAGGTTAGGGTTGGCAAGTGGACAGTAAATTTCACACCTGTTTCATTTCAATTGGACGGGGGAAGACAGTAGTATTTAATGTATACAGTAGCCTTAGCTTAACAAACTACAAACATTCAACTCTAAGCAGCCATTTCAAATACTGTAGACTAGAGCATTCTACAATATCTGTTCCATTCTTCCCCTCTCTTCCTCACAGCTTTCTTTTGTTCTTGTACTTATCCTGGGGAAATTAAAGGGAAGAGGGAGAAAATGCATATTTTCTGGGCTTCTTAGATTCCAGCATTTTTATTAAGTTGCCTTTGTTAACATCTAGTCTGTTTTCTGAAAAGTGCAGTCCTTTCCATCAGCCAGTTTACTCACAGTCTCTCTCTCTCTCTCTCTCTCTCTCTCTCTCTCTCTCTCTCTCTCTCTCTCTCTTATATTCTATTTGTTCCCGCTGATGCTCCAATTGCAGATTCCTCCTCGACAGACACAATATAGGCAGTCCATGTCATAAAAAAAACCCCAAACCCTGCGGGAAGGCCCCGAAACCTCTCTATTAATGCTTCTGCCCTTTGATATGTTTAGAACCAGAAGATGTTTTAATCACACATGAAACTTTTTGGTGACTATCAGGCACAAAGTTCTTGGTGATTATTTGATACTGAGCCTGATTTGGATCCACAGGGAGGAAATCTGTTTAACAAGGTGACACATGCTGACTTGAGTATCGTTGGAGAGCACTTCAGCTCAGAAGAGGGGAACTTGAGGAAGAGTAGAAAGGTAATATTGGAGATGTGCAATAACAATAACATAGAGCGGTAGTACGGAGACAACAACATGAGCAATGCAAATTCCTAAGTATTTGAAATATCTTTTCTATATGTCAATCCCAAAACTGGAGAGCACGGATCAATACCATAGACATATGAATATATCTGATCAAATGTGTAGAATTTAGGACAAATGATTCTGCCCAAGGAGATTAATTCTCTTGGTCTTCTTCTATGTCAGATCACCTTTGGTAAGTTTTCTTGAGGTGGTGCGAATCAACATTGTTCAGATGATTTTAGCAGTGACATAAATAGGTATCAGCTGGGATATGGCCTTTATTTTGAAAAACCGCTATCTGCAAGCGTTTCTTTTGACATTTTGGTGATTCACTGCAAGGCATACAGAAAGTAGAACTAGGACAGGTTTATAGGTTGCCACATGACATTATCCTGTTGTTTTTGAAATATGTAGGACAATACTCTGAGGAGGTTTATTTTTCATTTATGGACAGACTTCATTGCATTTTATGCTCATTTAATAATAATGACTTCACAGAAAGCAAAATATTCCATCTTCATTAGATGCAAAAGAAATGAGAAACAATAAACAAAGAGCTGCTGTTCTTGATGTTAGTAAAATTTGTTAGGCTTGGAAAGCACAGAATAATGATTTTTTTTTTTTTTTGCTGTCCATCAATAAAAGCGATCCATGGGTGCTTCATAAGAGTAAAAAAACAAAGTATAGCTAAATTTGAGGACTTCCCCCGCAGCATGAGAAATGGAAAATAATGGGATGAAGCAAATGACAAAAAACCCAATGGTTTTAGGCCATATTCTTAATATCAAAACTAATGACTATATAGAAATTGTGGATTAATGGTCAATGATCATGGGAAATGATAGCTGTGAAGCAATTCTTTTGTGCTATAATGATTACTATGTGTGTGCACTCGCATACGTTTGTGCATGTGTCTGGGGGAGGGGGGAAGAGAGAGCCAGAGTCAGTCTTCTTCAACTAGTACAGTCCAGATGCAGTAGAACACTAATTTCATTGAGCATTGTTATGTTTTAAACCAAGAGAGAGCAAAAACTGGAATAGCTAAATTGGTATTCAATCTCACTGTATTCAGTTTCAGGATTCTGCATGTTTTGTATCTCTTGAATATTCTGTTCTTTGTTTCACAAAACCTTGTGAAGCAACGGATGGAAACTAATCAAGGAGAGAAGCAACTTAGAACTAAGGAGAAACTTCCTAACAGTTAGAATAATTAACCAATGGAACAACCTGCCTCCAGAAGCGGTGAATGCTCCAACACTGGAAGTTTTAAAGAAAAGACTGGACAGCCATTTGTCTGTAATGGTATAGGGTTTCCTGCCTGAGCAGGGGATTGGACTCAATGACCTCCTAGGTCCCTTCCAACTTATTATTATTATTAATAATAATAATAATAATAATAATAATAATAAATATATCAGACTGCTTTGGGTAGCCTGTAGGTTATGCAAGTAATATTGTCAAAATGGTCTTTGTCTTCACCTTTTTCGCTTTCTTGGCCACCTAATATTGAGTGATAATAAATCTTACAATGTAGGCAGCAAACTAATAATGTAAGATAAATTCATTTAGGAATAGGATTGTTTGTGGGAGGAGGTAAAAATGTCAAGATGGGGTAGATGACCGGGCTGAACCTGAGGGAGGGATCAAACATGTTATCAGTCATGAGTCTCTTCACAAGAGATCTAAGTCCAGCCTATTTTGAATTCCTTATCTACAGCCAAATTGCTTTGACTGTCCCTAGTTCAGATTCTTGTAGAGACTTTAAGCTTGCAATAAATCTTTATACCCACTTGAACTGCCTAGATCTCCTGTTTTCCCTGCCTCTTGACAGATAGTGAGTACAGCCACCTTAAACCCTGAAACCCTGCTGTCTTTTAACATGTATGTATACATAGGTTTACAAAGTAAAAATCTTCACATTTTTACCTTGTCTCCCCCCATTCTCCCTTCAGATATATGTGTATGGCAGCATTCATAGTAAGATGGTCAAAGACAACAAAAGGATAGATAGAGTGTCGTGATACAAACCCTGCCTCTTTTGTATGCTCTTCACACTGTATATGCATTCAAAAGAAGCAGAGTTTGCATTTTGACCCACTATCCATATACTGCTGATTTTGACTCCTCCCATGAATGCTCCTTGATATCTAAATTAAAAAAAACCTGAAATGTTTGGATGAAATCCTAGACTGGGCTGATAGGAAAGAAAGAAACTTTGATGTTGAGTGGAGGGACATGGAATGGTCAGTCTCAAGTTTTCAGAGTCTGTGCAAGGCCCTAGCCAGCCATGTAATTCTGGGAGTTGGAGTCCACAAGTCATAAACTGGCCAAGGTTGGAGACCCCTGCCCTAAAGTACAAACACATGTTCTTTCATAGAATTCAGCTAAATTAGGAAACAACATGATTGATGGGAGACTGAATCTACCAAAGCTTTTGTTGAGGACCAATTGGATGGAAATATATTGTTTAGGTATAAGATATAAGACTATACTAGTAGGAGCTGGTTTTAAAACTCTTCCTCCCCTGACAGTTTTGCAATTTCAACCATCCCAAATTAGCTATTAATTATGATGGAGTATGTTCTCATTTGTACTGTTTTTTCATCCTATGCAGCCAATAGCAGCAGCTGCCAGGAGAGAAGTTCTCTCTTAACCAGGAATTAATTACAGGGAAAGGTAGAACACCTAACTATCTTCTCCTCACTCATCATGGGATCAAAATAAATACTACCTCCTCCAACTGACTGAAATAAAGACATCTGAAGAACTGGTCACTTGCCAAGTAGTTTGATTTTGGAACAGTCATAGTTTCAATCTTCATTCAGTTCTGGAACATATCATCTCACCTTGTATCTCCACAAAGAGAGGATCAGGCTTCCACTTCTCATGAATAATCAATTATACCTTGTGATGAACATAGCACAACAGTTTTCAGGAAGCTGAAGAAAGATAAGCATTTTTTTTTAAAGAAGCAGGAAACCCCCCCCCCAAAGCATTATATTTTTAGATATGTCATCATATAAAAATATCATATAATGCAGAAATTTAGTGCTGTAAGGCAGGGGTGCTCAACACCCAGTCTTTGGACTGGCACTGGTTCACAGCACGCCAGCAACCGGGCTGTGCAAACAAGCAAAACCCCATTTGTGGGACTGAGGCAGCACATAAAACCACGCACCCTCCGGTCTGCAGAAAAACCTTTCTCCATGGAACTGGTCCCTGGTGCTCAAAAGATTGGGGGCTGTTGCTATAAAGCTAACAGGATTTGCAGAAGAAAATAATAAAAATAATTGTTACTTGTCTTTGATAAGAATTAAAAATATTTCATTCATTCATTCATTCATTTTATATCTCATCTCTCCTCTAGGAAACTCAGCATGACAGAACTGCTGCCTCAGTTTTTTCCTCACAACCACTGTGAGGGAGATTGAATTGAAGGGGAATGACTGGCTCAGACATCCAACAAGCAACCCTTTTTTGACAGTGGATTTTAACCTGTTTCTTCGTAATCTTAATCTAACACTTTATCGGCATTCGATATAGACAATGTGAATTTTAATGAAAAATGGATATGCTTTAAGTTGATCAAAACCAAATAAATTGCATCATAACATAACAATTGCTACAATGTTTAACATTTAATTAGCACAATCTGATGGAATAAGCTGGAGGTGCTATTAGTTCCTAGAGGAAATGATTAAATAAAAATGTTGTTGATGACATTGCTTGTTGAAGTCCTGGAGAAAATCTAGAAGAGCATTTAATCTATTTTTATAATAATTTTATTAAAGTTTATAGTTACAAGAATAAAAAGAATGCAATTTGAGAAAATATAGGAGTAAAAAAGGAAAATTTTAAAAAATTAAAAAGTGCAAATGAAAACTATAGTACAGGTAGCCCTCAACTTATGACCACAATTGAGCCCAAAATTTCCATTGCTAAGCAAGGCCATTAAGTAAGTTTTATTACCTTTCCTACCACAGTTGTTAAGTGAATCACTGCAATTAATAACATGGTTGTTAAGTGAATCCGGTTTCCCCGTTGACTTTGCTTGTCAGAAGGCTGCAAAAGGAGTTCACATGACCTTGGGACACTGCAACCGTCATAAATAAGAACCACTTGCCAAGCATCTGAATTTTGATCACGTCACCATGGGAATGCTGCAATCGTTGCAAATGTGAAAAATGGTCATTAGTTGCTTTTTTCAGTGCTGTTGTAGCTTCAAATGGTCAGTAAACGAATGATTGTATGTTGAGGACTACCTGTAAAGAAAAAAGATAAACAAATTACTTTCCTTTTAATCATGACAAGTACAAACAATTTCAGTAATTTATCCCTTTCTCTGAGACTACAACAACAGCTCTCTTCTTCCCATATCTCATCTCTTATATATAAACAAATTCTTGAAGCCTTGTCATCTAATTCTTATCAGCAAAAGTCTATTAAGAGTTACCAGATATTTTAGCTTAATCAAATCCAACTATCTTTATATTCCTTTAATTTACTTTTAACATAGTAACTTTACATTCCCTTAACTTTACTTTTAACATAGTGACTTATTACTTTCTAATTAAAAAAGATTTTTCCCCTTTTCTCATATCTAATAAACATATAAACCTTAAAAACTTTTTCATTTGATCCTGATTGTCAAAAAACTATTAAGAATTATCAGAAACAACATGTATATTTTAACCTCAACCAAATAAACATTTATATTCCTTTGCTTTGCTTTTAACAATCTTGATCTATAATCCTTTTAAACAGTGTCTCAGAACTCAATTTCTTTTCAGTTTCTCTTTAAAGGTCCTTCAAAACATTTAACACATCTCTTTTGTAAATCTAAAATGAAACATTAGCTCAGTGTTTCCCAAACTTGACAATTTTAAGGCATGAGGACTTCAACTCCCAGAATTCCACAGCCAGCAACACTGGCTGTGGAATTCTGGGAGTTGAAGTCCACATGCCTTAAAATTGTCAAGTTTGGGAAACACTGCTTAGCTAAATCACTCTTCGCTTTGTTATTTATATATCCCTTTTAATATAAAGACTAAGCCAGTTTCATTTGTATATCCCCGGTAACTTCTTTACCCATTTTATACTTTTCTCTTGTTCTTTTAACATCCACATTCAAATCAGCCTCAGTCTCAGCCTTGTCCAGTAAAGCATGCTCTTTCAAAATCTCTTTTAAATCTAGTTTTATGATAGCAGGCAACCTTAAAAGTAACTTTTGCATGCATTGTTCCCAAATATCCTTGAATTGATTTCAATTTAAAACAATTTGTTCTAATTTGTATTAGTTTCTTCTCCTTTAATTATAATATTTTAGTTCTTTCTGGGTTTCCCCTAGTGTTCAACTTTCAGAATCCTATCTTGACAGTTTTTCTGATCAACAGCATTTTCCCATGGGAAGATTTCTTATGTTTAGTTTCAGTATATGTATGTATGACCTGACAGTCATCAGATAACCTGCCTGTATAGCTGGCCAAAGTTTAAATCTTTCTTTCAGTTGTTGATATGTAAACCAATGACAAACATAGCCGTCTGATTCTAACTCTTCCCTTGACTTAAGGATAGGGTAACTGGAGTTGAAAAGTATTATTTTATGATAAGTCCACCAGGACCACCTTTTTCAACTAGTCTCAACCTGCCCAAAACCTATGTCCCAAGATAATCTGCTAGAAGTCTCCAATTACATAAAGAAAGTGGGGGATGAGGCTAGCAAATTCTGTATTTTGGATTGGTATGTCTGCACCTTGGAATAGCCCCTACCCAGGAATTTGTGTTATCAAATGTTCAAATGTTATAAAAATGGAGGATGTTCGGGAATCCTTTGAAACATGAGTTATAACCAACAATTCTAATGCTGTGGATGTTACAATTTATTTTGGTACATTCTTTCATGTGTTTTTATCATGGACTATTTATTCTTTGTAATGATGGAGGATGTAAAGACCAAGAAATCTGTGATGGGCATCAATCTAATCAATAAATGGATGAATAATATCTCTAGCCCTTCTCTCCACCTGAGGCTGAAATCTTGCTTTATAGAAGATATTACTGCTTCCTTTGTTGCTGATAAGTAATTACAGAGTCTTTCCATTTACTACCTAATCAGAATGCTGGGAATGGGGAATGATCAGGACTGGCAATTAGTAACATCAGGTCTGACCTGATATGCTGATCTGATTTCTTATTTGGTTGAAACAAAGATACTGTCCTGTTGTATACAATTATGAAGCAGATTTATTGTACATTTATTGTACATTTTAAATGAATAATGCAGGTGAAACTCTTACCATCTGAAAAATCTTCTTACACGTACCAAATATTGGAGTTGTTCTCTCCAGCAAGGACATGAGACATTTTTATGAGGTAACTTTGATTAAATCCAGTTAAAATTCACACTTTGCATCTATAAATAAGGTCCTCTGAATTAACTGATGTTTTCCATCATCAAACATTATAAAAATATGAGAAGTATTTACCTACAGCATTTGATTTATTAATTACAAAGGCTTACTAATATTTTAAGTTAGTTTGACTTAATATAATATTTGTTGTTCTTGACTGTATGATCATTTTAAAATTATTATATGAGAGTGGTCCTTTGAGTTTCTCTCCCTCCTTTTCTCATTTTACTGTCACTGTTTGCAAAGATACACTGTATAAATTACATTCGTTTGGTTGCTGTTCATGTTTAATTTCTACTTGTGTAACCATCATCTGCAAAGCAAGTCTTGTGGCAGAAAAAATGGTACAGTACATACAGCAGGAATAGTATTTACAGTATATATTGTTGGGAATGAGATAGGCAGAACATTAGAAAGTCAAGAGGTCATGAGGATTACTTAAAGCCTCCTTTAGCAAAGCAGTAATTAAAAATAACAAGATTTTCCTGCATAAACTAATAGTTGGTTAAAATAATGCTGTTGAGAATCTCTTATCCATATACAAATCCTGCCTCTATTTTTCACTCCCGAAATTGTGAAAACATTTTAAATTCATCCACACATGTTCTCATCATTGCAAGCCAGAGATATCTGTAAGGTGTGGTGAAAAAAATGTGGCATATGGATTTTTTGGGCCGGTTATGGCTGTTTTAACTATGTTGGTATCATAGTTTCAGGAAGGTCCCTGCAAATCAGAAGAATATACCCTTGCTTAGGTTCTATCGTAGTACACAATATCATTTGCTAACAATGTTTGTTGTACTTTATATTGAATAATATTATCAATCTCTAGGCAGAAGAATAAATGGGCACAAATCTGATTTTAAAAATGGTAATATTAAAAAAAAATGAGGCAGCACTGCAGTCCTGCAAGGCACTCTGCCTCTGACCTCAAGATGGTCTTGAGATTCATGAGAAAAGAAATTGCAAAGGCCAAGTTCATCACAAAACAGCAGATGTTGAAACCAATAATAGATGTTAAAAGGTTTCTCATGATTAATCAAATTGCATTTCCTTATATAGCATTTGCACCACTCCCAAAGGGCTGCATGGCTCTGAAGTTTTTCACAGGGCAGCTGAATTACTTTACATTTGGCTCGGCTGCGATTCAACAGGAAACTCATTGCATTTGGCATATGGGGTGATAGATTGAGATCCATAAAAGCTCAGCATTAAGGTATCACAAGAATCTCCATTACTTTATCTATATAATTGTTTTTTTGAAAACATTTAGAATACCTTATCAAGAAACTTTTTTTTTTTGTATTGCAGTACATGTTGTTTTTCATGCAATGTGATCTCTGCAATTTCTGGTTTCCACAACTGTGTCTAATTTCAGACATCAATCCCATAGACATAGGGTTATCAGATCTAGGCAGCATAAATTAAAATGCAAAGATGTATAGAAAACTCTAATGGCTGCCAACTGATGGTCAACTGGATTTTTAAAGACCAGATGTGGTACTACAAAATAAAGCTTACAAAGAAAAAGGAAATGTTCATTATAAATGCTTTCAATTTTTTTTTTAGAAATTAATATCTTACTTGTTCTTGTTGTTAGTTGCGAAGTCATGTCCGACCCATCGCAACCCCATGGACAACGTTCCTCCAGGTCTTCCTGTCCTCTACCATCTTCTGGAGTCCATTTAAGCTCACGACTACTGCTTCAGTGACTCCATACAGCCACCTCATTCTCTGTCGTCCCCTTCTTCTATTGCCCTCAATCTTTCCCAGCATTAGGCCTTTCTCCAGTGAGTCCTTCCTTCTCATTAGTTGGCCAAAGTATTTGAGTTTCAACTTCAGGATCTGGCCTTCTAAAGAGCAGTCGGGGTTGATCTCTTCTAGGACTGACTGGTTTGAATGCCTTGCTGTCCAAGGGACTTGCAGGGGTCTTCTCCAGCACCATAGTTCAAAGGCCTCAATTCTTTGTTGCTCAGCCTTTCTTATGATCCAACGTTCACATCCATACATTGCAACTGGGAAAACCATGGCCTTGACTATACATACTTTTGTTGGCAGGGTGATGTCTCTGCTTTTTAGTATGCTGTCTAGATTTGCCATAGCTTTCCTTCCTGGGAGCAACTGTCTTTTAATTTCTTGGCTGCAGTCCCCATCTGCAGTGATCTTGGAGCCCAGGAAAATAAAATCTGTCAATACCTCCATTTCTTCCCCATCTATTTGCCAGGAATTGAGAGGGCAGGATGCCATGATTTTGGTTTTCTTAATGTTGAGTTTCAAGCCAACTTTTGCACTCTTCTTCTTTACCCGCATCAAGAGGCTTTTTAGTTCCTCTTCACTTTCTGCCATTAGAATGGTATCATCTGCATATCTTAGATTGTTGATATTTCTCCAACTTTTGATTCATCTAGCCCTGCCTTTCTCATGATGTGCTCTGCATATAAGTTAAATAGGCAGGGCAATAGAATACAGCCTTGCCAGACTCCTTTCCCAATTTTGAACCAATCACTGGTTCTGTATCCAGTTCTTAACCCTCATATAGGTTTCTCAAGAGACAAATAAAATGGTCTGGTACTCCCATCTCTTTAAGAACTTGCCACAATTTGTTGTGATTCATACAAT